GTAACCTGCTAAGGGCAGGTGTAGTGTTCAGCCCCGTACCACCACAGAAAGGGGTGCCGATGACGCATCTTCCGTCCCAAGGCTGGTCACGTCGAAAAATATGAAATGGGAAGCCGAGCTGTGCTTGGCGGTGTCAGAATGCACCCGCAGTGGCCTGCTGCCAGGTCGATATGACGTCACTACAGATGGACACTCATCTCCGCGAGTGCTGACGGAGGACGAAATTGAACTGGACGCAGGATGTTGCATGAAGATACGTTACCCAAAAGGCTCCATCCGCAAAGGGTGGGACACACCGACCTTCTCACAATTGTGAGACAATTGCTGCAAGCAACACCGGAGTACCATTGCACTGGAGCACTGCTGTACCCCTGTCGCACCATCATATGTGACGAGTATCCCCAACAGGGACATCAAGTCAATCACATCTCAAATTACCTGATAGGTATTGTATGTTAGTCCAGATTACCACCCATGAGGATTCCATGGAGTAGCAGAAAGAGTTGTTGCACACCGTGGTGTTGCACCCCCAAGTCCGCCTACGGTGGGCCGCCCTGGGGCCCACCCCCACTCAAAGTGTGGCACCCAAAGCTATCCCGCGCCCATGGTGGGTCACTGCACTTGATGCAGCACCATGTCAGTTCTGGCGACACATTCCCTCGTCGTTCTTGTCGGTTCTCCTGGACAGGGTACTTCAAAATATGGTTCTTCGATACTACGGCTGATACCTCCCCTAGGAATAGGCCGAGGTACTGCAGGTCAATGTCTAAGCAGATCGAGCGATCCGTTAAGGAACGCAACCCACATGACAGCCTAGCGTTGTTTCAATGATGAGTAAAAAAGGGCGTTGTGAGGCTCTTCCCAAGTCGTCTCGCAGTTGCACCGAGTATGGCAACACTTTGGGAGATGTGTCAACACAGCGGACGGCCGGTTCACAAAGAATGCAACGCTTGCAGAGGCCCCAATTACTGCTCTCGCGAGCACCAACGACCTCCCCACGTGAGGGGCACATCACAACTCTCCACGCCAGTGACGCACTTTGTCATTTTGCAGCACATTAACTTGCAATGCACCCTCAGGGGATTGGGCCTGCAGGCCCACAGAAAGCACCCCCTCGCAACTGCTTGCCGCCCAGGTCCACTTCTGCTGCGCTCAACTCTACAGCCGAAGCCGTTGCGCCATGACAATGCGGCTACAAGCCTTGGGCCCACGATCACCGGTGAGCAACGTTGCGAGGAAGCAGAGGGGCTCAGGTTGCCCTGCGAATCGCAGTGCGGGTAGCATTGATTGCGCAGAGCCACCGCGCAGGAGCACTGCATCAAGGGTCCAATCCGTTCTTTGACGCTTCACTGGCGGCCTCTTCCCGTATCTGCTCTGTGGACAGGCCGCTTGCGATTGAAGTCGGCTTGCCTTTGTTTGGCCGTTGATGTGCCTGTCTTGTCGGCGCAAAAGAACATGTTCTCGCAGCTCACATTGCCCTCTGCCCCACCGCCCCCCCTGCACTGTGCCCAATTCTCGCCATGTTTCGGCACCACCTTGCAGTTGATGCTCGTGCTGGCTCTGATGCGCTTGTCTATCGGACAAATCCACGTTCATGAAAGCAATGCTGCTCAGGGGCCGCCTGTTGTGGGCACAGGTGGCGGCCGGGATGTGCCCCTCCAAGGCGCTAAAGGGAGGCTGGGTCCTTCGCCAGCCGCTGATTCCACTCCGGAGGTGCTGGTGCAAGAGCAGGATCCGCAGGCGTGGCCGGTCGATGCAGTGCTTCGCGATGGTGAATGTGGAGCTCAGCAGCCCCTCCTTCGTGCTTGGCCTTGGGCTCATCGGATCCGGGGTGCTGCTGTTCAGCGTAAGCTGGACGCCCAGGGACTGATCCCCTGGAACTGCGGCTGCATGGAATCATCTGCCTTCGGAATCACTGCGCCTTGGGGGATGTTATCGGTTGTTGTTAATGAGTGCATGTGACAGCCAAGAACTGGGCCAATGTTCGTGCTGCTGGTTCCAATGTGGTATAGCGATGTACACTTCCATAACATAATTTTCCCCCCCCGAAAACAGAACAATGGACAACTGAATGTCAAGATGTAACACATGCGATGCACAGCTCCACGACAGTGCGATTCCCTGAGGAGAGTGCAAATGAAAAGCAGATTGGGATTGTCCATGGCATCCAATGTAGCCTAGAATTCATATTCTGCTCACATTTGTCTTCAGATGGCAAACCATGCCCTTGCGTCAAGAAGGAAATGAGGGCATTGCTCCTTCTACAAATGTTGGTCTCCAGCCAGAGACAATGGAGCCTTTGTGTTGCCTGTGGTGTGCATTAGGCAAGCATACTAAAGAAGCGTCGCAGCCTTATGCAGGGATGCTTTTTGAGGCACAACGCCCCCAATTGATATGCAAATGGTCTCTTGGGCACAGCACAGAGTGAATCATTCATTGCAAGCTTTCAACACTGGAAGCCAGTTCTTTCCCATGTTTGCGTTGCAGATTCGAAAATCCAAACCAGCGTTGTCTCGCGACAGTGATGTGATCATATCCTCGTTGATCTCAGTCACTGGGGCCGCCCTTGTGTTCCAGGGTTGGCGTCTGGATCCACTGCTGTTGCTGTGTCAGGTGTGTGCCTGGATGTAGTTTATTTGACCAGATTTGTGCTGAATGAATCAAACATAGACACCTGGAAGGTGATGAAGAGCAGTGTGTAATTCCTTGTTACATCGAACGTTGGGGCTACAAACAGACGTGAGCAGACCCCTGAAACCGAATCAAAAACAGGTCAACCCTTGTCGCAACCTTTGGCAATGTAGATGAAGGGCAGTGTGTACATCCAAAGAGTGTTGTACAAAAATGCCATGCACACTTTGTCCATGGCAGTTTTCTGTGTTGTGCTGTGATGAGATTGCCAATAGTGTCCAGATGAATGGTTATATACGCCTGAGCTATGTACGACTGTTGCATTTGTGGACAACACTGTGTGGCAGAGTGCAGTACAGCAATGTTCACAACAAGGATTGTCAATATCCTCAAGATGCATTGCATCATTGTGGGTTCTTGCACCTGCATTTGACATCCAGTTTTGTACCCTTAGCTCATCCCTCACCCAATTGTCGCATACTCCTTTGTGGACCTATACACACCTGAACGGAAGTGCAATTCGTGATGACAGTTGATCTGACAGCCAGTCTACTCATGGGGAATGCTGATTATCTCTGCTTCAGAGTTCAATTGTTTTGCAAATGCACTTGAGTGTCTGATAGATGCATTGGGTTCTCTTGCATGGCCTTTAACTGTTGCAACATAATAGCATATCTTCTGCTTGGAAAGCTAGGCAGCCAGGACTCGATGTAGAAATGAGGACAAAAAGCTGATTATTCAGCTTTCGTGCTGCATCAATTAGGGGAAGCCTGGCATCTCCATGGATGGATGTTGTTGTGGCCATCTGCCACAAAATCTTCATGGCAATGTCCCCTTTACCCAAATCCTGCAGTGTGTGCACACTTCTGCTCAGCAACCTGAGCTTACTGAGCAGAAAAGACCACACAAGGCACGTTTGGGCACAATGTTTTTTCATGTCCGCTGGAAGCTACCATTGCCTGCTGCCACCCTTTGCAGTGTCAAAGTGCCAACAACCCGACTACCCTCCAATCTAGAATCCCAAGTGTGTGTGTTCCAGTTCTCAACCTGGTACCACCTTCAACACCACTGACTATGGTTCTTTTCAGCTCATGACGTGCACAGTGGCAGTCTCTTTCGCACTCGAGACCCTCAACTTGCGAGAGCAGATTCAAACTAAGGTGAGAACGTAGAGGTGGGATCGGTGTCTGACCAGAGTCCCGGCTGCAGCAGGTTCAGAGCTTGAGTTGCAACAGAGTTGACACCGTTGGTGCAGGGGTGTGTGATTGTGGTCTGCTGTTGTTTTTTGTATTTACTTCCAGATTACTGCATTGCATTTAACAGTGCGGAGTGTTGTTGTTGATCAGCTTGACTGCAGTATTAGTGCTGGAAAATGTCCTGTCTCTGTCACAGCAGGTCCTTCAAACAGATCCATAAATTGCACATCCATCAATTGACGGGCTAGTGTTGCCCAACATGACTGTTAGTGATTCCCAGCGTGTGGCAGCGACCACAGCCATCAGGCAGGGCTGGTCAACACCAGAATCTGTTGCGACATTGTTTGCCTTGATATCTGCTTAAATTGGCCATTGCTGAAAAGACACCGCACTGCTCTTTCGTGCACACTGTGCTGCCTGAGGTATCCTCACTGCTAAGAAACCTGATTTTACTGCTGTACATTATCTCAACAACCTGACCTGAGCGACAAAGACAAGGATGAGTAACTTTCAAAACGTGTCGTTTGTTCCATCCTGTTGACATCATGATGTTGCTCTTCCCTGCCCTGCGCCCTGTGGCAGTTCTGTTCTGACTTCTCAAGACTCTCTAGCAGATCGGTCCCAGCGCCCCATCGACATCCGACTCAAGCGGTTCTGAGGAAGAAAGTCCTGAAGAGGAGCCTTGGTACAGGCAGGATTTCGGGCTCCCGCAGCCGAGCGGCAGACCCTTTGGTGCATGGGGCTGGTCAGAGGAGCCTGATTGGTACCAGGACGGTGGCTACTCACAGGACAGCCCTTCTGCCGGGCCGGCAGTAGGCTATGGTGGAGAGAACTTCGACACTGGCGGGCCTAGAGATGAGGGTGGGCAGGTGTGGGGGGACTTCAGTGCAAGGGCGGTACCAGGGGGAGGTTCCCAGATTGTGAAGGGTCTCGAGGACGATCAAGTGAACCTTGTGGAGGACTGGGAGTGAATCATTCACATTCCACACCCGAGGCACTCCACAGTCACGAGGACTGTCATTTGATTTCAAACTTTGACATGCATTTCTGCGTGCTTTCTGTCTGAAAACCTGACAGGGTCAACGCGCTTAATGTACAGCTCCATGCAATCCCCCACCTCCCGCCAATAAATAAGCGAAGAAAGCGTCAATACCCAAACGCCGCCCTCCGTTTTCAGACCACAGACTCCCGCGCGGCGTCCAGGGCGTCCATGACCGCCGCCACCCAGCCCTCCATTCCCGGCCTCTGCGGGTAGAACACCCTCCCCAGACCCGCGCGCCGCGCGGCCTCGCCGGACGTCCTGCCGATGCATGCGAATGCCGGACCCGCGCGTCCCGCCTCCCCCGCCAGCGCCACCCACGCCCCCACAGCGGACGGCGACCCGAACGTCACCACGTCCGCCCCCACGGCGGCCTCCAGGTCCCCAAGGTCCACCTGGCTGGCAGGCCTCGTGTCATAAGTGTCCAGCCGCGTGACCTCGAACCCCCGCGCCTCCAGCCCCTCCTGGAGGTCCCCGCCAGCCTTTGCCGACGCCGGGTACAAGACCGACCCGGATCCGTTGTTCCCAACCGGCAGCTCCGCCGCCAGCACTTTGGCGGTGGCCTTCGATGGGACGAAGGGGGCGTCGAGGGATCCGGCCTGGGCGATCGCCTCCGCCGTGCCACCGCCCACGGCAGCCACGCGCACGGACGGCCGGCCCGCGCGGCGCCACGCCGCGAGAAACACCGCCGCGGCCTCGGGGGAGGTCACGGCCACCCAGGCGAAGTGCCGGGCCCGCAGGACCTCCGGCAGGGCGGCCCTGTCCGGGCCGTCCGCGTGCTCGATCAGGGGCAGCTCCAGTGCGTGAGGGATCCCCTTGGCGGCCAGGGCGGAAATCAGCTTTGCGTTCTTCCCGCGCTCGCGTGTGACCACAACGAGCGGGGTTGTTTGGCAGTGAGGCGATGCCGCGAGGAGAGCATGGCGACGGGGAGGGCTGCCCGGCAAAGGAGGGGGGGCGAGGATGGGAGCCCGGGGCGCCTGCGGGGCGCGAGCCGGGTTCCCGACTCCCGCCCTGGCCGGCAACATGTACGGCGGGCGGAGGGGGGCCTGCGACTGCGGCCAATCTCAGATCGCGCGGCCGACACCGCCGCTCCTGGTCTCTGGCCGTGTTGGGGGGATGGCGGGGGGGGCCCGAGGGCGTTACCAAGTTACGAGGACCGTGTCACAGCGTTACAGGGGTAGATTTGCGGCTGCGCGAGCATTCGCCCTTTCTCTGTGTTTTGGGTCGCATAGCGAAGCGTTCGACAGGCCCGTGGAGGTGGGAGGAGAACTTTGACGGCGACTCTGAGTTGAGTCAGATCTAAGCGCGTCGCCGATTGTCCAGGTGTACCGCGGAAGGTGACGTTGGGGCCTGGAGCCTCTCAAAAGCCATTCTGAACCAGTGCATACAGATGCTGGTAGCAATTCAGCACCATGCTTAGTTTGCATCCCTTTTCTCTCGTGTTTTTTTTCCTTTTTTTTCCTGCAATTGCTGCAACAGCGTCCCCCACTTCTCTGTTTGTTCGGCGTCGCCCCTGGAGGAACGAAGTAATTCGCAATATCCACAACAAATGCAACGCCCCTGTGCTGTCCCTGTGCTGCCACCAGACACGCGGCCCTGCCTTCTTTTCAGTGCCTGTGCGACTTCTTGCTGCTGTGATGGCGGCCATGAGAATGAGAATGCTCACGCTCGGTTGATTCATGTCGCCTGTGGCTGTGATGTTTTCTGTGGGCACCTCCGCCACCATCACTGTCTCCCTCTCGATCCCTTGTTCCCTCTCGGTCCTTGGACTCGCTCCGTCTGCGACTTCTGTGTTTGTCATGGCGCCGATCGCCACGCTCTCTCATCACGCTCTCGCTCGCTTCCCCATTTGTAATATGCTCCCTCTCGCCTGATTTGCTTCTCCGGCGGCGACCCTGACGCTCCCTCTTGTATACTCTTTGATGCCGATCGTCTTCCTCGCTGTGCACATCGTGTTCCCGATCCTCAGATTGACTTCGCCTGCGGTCTCGATGCCTTTCCTGGTGCACTCTGCCACACTCTCTCCCAGGTTCCCTCTTGTGGCGTTCATTGGGATGGGAGCCCGCATAATCCCTGCCATGCGGCCTGCCATCACTGCGGCTCCTGTGCTTTCTTTCATCCCCCCTCCGCTCTTCTGCCTCCGATCCTACCCTCCTATGCCTCCCTTCTTCCCTGTCCTCCATGCCATCCCTCTTGTCCCATCTTCTTGCAGCACCTCTGTTTTCTCGAGAGTCCTCTCTTCTCCTTTTCCTGCCATCCTCTGACTTTGAATCACTCCTGATACTGTCTTCCAAAGTAGAATTCAAAATGGCCTTCTCATCCAGAACCATCCTGTAGTCATCCGGCCTGTTCCCCCTTCTCATCTCCACACCGCTAGACGCATCCTGCCTTGGTGCTGGCCCCTTTCTAGGGACCTGCCCTTTCTCCTGCGCCTCCAACAGTGCCTTGTCCCCTTTCCGCCCAAAGCGCCGAAAATGCCGCCAAATATGGTACACGCTCTGGCTGAAGTCCACCTTTATGCGACGGTCGTCAATCAGGACATTGTTCATCTTGAAATACGCCTCCTCACAGGCCTCATCGGATTCCAGTCCTATGAACGCGTAGCACAGCGAGTCGCCAGTTTTCCAGTCCCTGATGATGTCACAGGAGGTGACCTTTCCAAACCTGGAAAATATGATCTCCAGATCCTCCTCTGTTGTGACAGGGTTCAATTTGCACACAAAGAGCATGTCGGATGGTGGCTTGACATCCGCCTCAGGAAGGTCACCGATCATCTCAAGGACAACTGCGTGATGGTGGGCCTCACGTCGGCGGACCTCCTCTTCGATCTCCTCAGCTGGCCTGTACAGATGCCACAGACAACAACTGAGTGGACACAGTAGTAGAGTAAGCATCTGGATAAAAATAGTACACCCTGCTCTGCTAACAAACACAGAACATGCATCACTGTGCACAGGTCTGCATATCGATGAGTGAAACACAGCACAGAATCAAAGTTGTGTCCACAACATTTCACCAGTTACTCAATGGTCAATGTGTTTGATACATATCCAACTGAATCGAAACGTGCATTTGCACAGAATACATGATGTTGGATTCGGAATCGATTGAACTGAATTTTTGGCAAGTTTCAATATTTGGAATGAAACTACTCCTCCAATGTCCCTGGGCTCTCGTTTCAGATCTGGTCCTCTGGTTCCAAGAAAAAATCCCGACACCATGTACAATCCCGCATTGCATTGAGCACAGACTATCGCCACAAGCTGACATCATGACAAGCTGACAATCACAAGCCGACTTCCATTGACGTCAGCAAACTGTTGACAAGTGTTCCTGCAGTGGCAGCCAAGAAGGGGAGGAAGACTGCCGCATAGCAGGCACCTTGTATCTTCAGCTGGCTGCCAATCATCCTCAAGCCGATCGCCCCCATCGGCCACAGCCTCTGGCGACTTGTCTGGAATGTGGTCTGCCAACAGGGGCGGGTCATCCAATGGGTCCTCCAGCACTATGGTGTGGTGAATCCGGATGTTTTGATATGGTCGCCCATCATTGTCACAGTAGGCATCATTTATAGCATCCAGAGTTTCCCAACCCTCTGTCACTTCTCCAAATACTGTGTGGGTCTCATCAAGCGAATCCAAGTCCTTTCCGGTTGAGATGTAGAATTGGCTGGCATTAGTGTTTTTTCCAGCATTTGCCATCGCCACTGTTCCTTTCCTCTTGTGTTTGAGCTGGGGGCGAATTTCATCTTCAAAGAAGCGTGCTTGTTCACCATACATAACCCTGCAATGGCAACAAGATTCAGATCAATGCCACCCAGATCGCCGTCAGAATTTCCCCACAGTGCAGCCGGGGCCAGTAAATCCTGTGCCAAAAATCACGTCATTGCCTCTGCCAGACTAAGCAAATCAAGAATGCAGGCAGCATGGAGCCTCAAGTGACAATGAGAACATCAAGTCACAATCCCCAGTAGGTCGCTCGATGGTCATTCACGACTATCAGTGCCCACTGCAGATACACTGAAGAAAGAGCAAGAGGAAGTGTTTCAGGGCAGCAACAACAACCACAAGTCAGGGATGACGCGACGCAACACTTGAGCTGGTTGGCAGCGACTTTTCCAATACAAACATCGACGAGAGACCACTTGCAGGGCATCAGCAGACGCCTGTCAGGGGTGCTGGCCTTGATGCCGCAACCCACCCGGCTGACACAGCTTCAGGAGGACTCACCCAAAGATTGATGAACCTCCCCTTCCAGTCCCATCTGGGTCGCCAGTCTGTGCAATAAAGTTGTGCTGGATGTTGTGAAAGAGGCAGTTGTTGTAGTACTTGATTCTGAAAGGCATACAGGCGCCCTTTCAGTCCACATGCTTGCTCCGCTGGCATTGCTCTCATGCTCCTGAGGAATTGGGAACAAGGACCGCTATCACAAAGCCAAGAGTCTAGCCCGATGGGGTAGAGGCGATGGTGTCGATCTTTCCACTACTTGCGACAGCTCATACAGGGAATTTGTACAACACCATCCTATTCTGAAACCAGTCATGTTTTCGTTCAGGCAGCCCGCCTCCCTGAGACACACAGTGCTGGGGCGCAGGCAAACGAAAGAACGGTAACGGCACTCCAAAAGTGCTACCATAGACTTCATTCCTCAAAGCGGGCGACCATTGAACTTGAATCTGGTGATTCAAATCTCTTGTTTCGGCGCCCTGAAGCGGGCACACTGCACCGGGTATCCCACTGTTGTGCAGCCTCCGCGTTGAAACGAGGTTGGGCCAACGGACGCTCATTGATGCACGTTCCTCCGCTCAATCCCTGCAATCAGGCCTACGACAGCGCCTTGCCCAACGCCGATATCACTGGCACAGGAAAGCAAAGACGACCGCGTTGGCCGGCAGCCTCGGGGCAGCCACGTCCGACAAGCTCACTTGCACAGCTTCAGGAAATTGAGGCACGTGCGCGGGCACTCCTCCACGTAGAGGTCCACCACGATGTCCCCCTTGCTCGTTTCCAACAGCACAGCCATCGCCGTTCGCGCCAAAGACGTTGGCAAAAAGCGCCCGCCGACGCCGGTGTAATCCCACTGCAGGTTCTCCTCCTGTGGTGTCCGCGCTGATAACCAAAAGGCTCAGAGTTTGGGTCCAAGCTCACGGTAAAAAGCACACAGAGCGGCTGCGCAACACCGCGCTCTGGAAGCTCCTCCGTCTCCGCATCAAACGTGGTCGCCAACAACAGCGCCACAAGCTTGCCGGCAACCAAGCTTGGGCGTTCCACACGGGCTACCCAAGTGCATCCCACGCGGGTCATTTAGGGGTCGCGGGGATTGCATCATCGGCCAAATTGTCGCCCACCCACCTGCTGCCGCCGCGGAGCAGGCATGCAGGCCCTCGCGGTGGGTGCCCTGCGCACCAGGGCCTGGAGGCTCGCGGTGCCGACCAGCGGAGTGTCACGGGCGGGGCGAGCGAGCGCGCGGTCCGCGCGCGCCTCCGGTGAGTCCGGGAATGGGGTGCCGCCTGCGCAGGAGTCGTCGAGCCGCGCGGCCGCCCCGGTCAGGGATCCGGCCAAGCGAGGCCCCGGAGGGCCCAGAGGGGAGCCCATCAAGGTGCGCGCACTTTGGGCCGGCGATGCCGATCATCTATTTCCCCCGGTCGCTCGTTTGTTCCAGGTGTGCCGAGGGCGTTCGGACGCCAAAGCTTGTTAGGCGGTGTGGGTGGGTTCGAAGGTCCAATGGCCCGTAGCTGGTGAAGGGGATGGGGGGATTGGGACGTGGCGAGGGGCATGAGGAGGTGATCTTCGGGCCCGGAGCGTGGCCCAAATGGCCATTGAGCTGCGGGCGACTGTGCGCGTCGTCGAGAGCGAGGGAAGCAGGGTCATTGGTTGTTTTTGCACAGCGATGTCGCCGAGTTCTAGAATTGAAAAGAATTGTATGTACATTCCAATGCTAGTCAATCCCAGAGTTCCCATGACTTGAAAATCATCCTTGATTTGGGGCAAGTTTATGATCGCTTAGCTTCGATTATAGTGTTGGCCGGTCACTTGTCTTCACCATATCGCGAACACTTGATCAAATCATGCAGTGGCCGCAGGTGCACTCTGTGGCCAGTGGCTGGAAATTCCCTCCTTCCAATCAGTTGTACGCGTTTCACCGCTTGCCTGGTCAGCACCAAGCCACAATTTACTCGCAGAAACACAAGCACATCAGTCCAGAGACTGCTGCCGGGTCAGATTGGTACAATGCTTTGGCAGCTGCTGGCCTCTCGAATTGTGTGTACAGCTGATCATCAGCAAATGGCAATGATGCAACATCTCATGGCTTCAGCTTGTGTATGATGGGTTTGGAATGCTGAAGAACACAACATGGCCAACCACCAGAAGCGCGGGAGGACTTGATTGGAATGTTTGAGGAGTGCACAACACATTCTGCCAGCTTATGTAGTGCTCGAATCGACAATCTTTTCGGTGCAAGCGGCAACACTGTAATGATCTTGTCATCGTAGTTCAGGTGCAGAATTAAAAGATGCAAGATCAGGCAAAATTGCAGCACAAAGTTTGCAACAGGTCCAGCTCAGGAACAAATCAGCTTAAGCTGTTTCTTGCGTCGAAATTACCAAGCCAATGATGGATATGCCAACAGCTGTTGGTTATCTGTATTTGTCTAGCTTTGCCCCTGTTGTTGGGTATGTTGCAAAATTCTTGCCTACTGTCAGATCAGCGGGTGTTGCTTGACAGGTGGTTCCCATCGAAACAGCTGGAAAGGAGGCTTGGGCCGGTGTGGCAGCTGTAGACAAAGGAGAGGACACGATGGGATCAGTGATGTGAGTGCCAATGTATTTTCCATGTGTTGTACTTCTTTTTTGTGCACCGAATGATTCAGAGCAAGTCTACCCCAGTCTTTGTGTCACTGATGTGTCCAGCACTCCCATAGTAGGGGCTTGGCCAGTTCCTTTGCCATTATGGAGAAACAGCTCGGCATCCTGCTTTGCTGATTTTTTTTCGTATTTGTGCTGCAGCGATCCACTGTCTGACAGCAGTTTGGTTCCGTCCTTCCAGGAGAGTTGGCCTTCTTGTTGTTGGTGATGCAGTTGGCCTGCTCATCTTTGCCGCGATTGGGAGAATTAGCCATGGAGAAGTGTTGAGTCTGGAGACGATAGGGACAGTCCTGCCCTTCTGGATAGGTATGCACCTTGGTGCTACAAGTTGATGGGCCATGGAGTGTGTTGTCCCGTTTGATGCACTGGTGAGCCAAGTTTGATGCTGGAAGTGGCTGTCATGTTGTTAGATGCAGAGGCGAGAAATGCCTATTCAGTGCTCTTTCATCTGCCCAGGCGGATGAGCACTCATGCAACTGAATGTGGCCATGTGTGCAAGGAGGTGCTTGCTGGCTGGCTGTTTTATTGGATTGTGGATCCATGCAAGACAAACGCATCCTGCAAGTGCTTGATAGGCTCTCACATCGTTAGAAACAATGTTGGGTCAACAAGCGCTGTTTGCTTAGGGCATCCCCAGATGCACGTACCCCTTCATGGTTATGTGCGACCATGAATCGCAACCTGAATACAAGACAACTTGTGAAATGGGCTGCAGGGTGGTGCTATATAACAGGGATGATCTGGTTGGAAGGGAATCTTTGGTGCTCTTGTACACTCCTTCACTTTACCTCCAGCTCTGATTGAAGAAGGTGGTGTCAAGTCTTTCTAAATGCATTTGACAGCACAAGGCGAAATGAACTCCTTGCATCTTCAAGAGGATGGCAGTTTTATGGAGAGTAAAAGTCTTTTTTTCGTTTTCGTTTGTTTTATTCTCCTCTTTGCATGTGTGGGTGATGTGTGGGCTGCTGTATGTCATCACTCTGTCATGCTAGCACTGATGGAAACAACAGAATACCTCATTTCTTCGATTCTGAATAAGTAGGGTTGGGGAAATGCACTTTTCTGTCAAAATTTGGGAAGAGAAAGCTGTTGCTGGCGTCACGTTATTAGCATCTTGTCACATACGCCATATTCCAGTTGTTGTTGTGATTTGTTATCCAGCCAATTTGCAGCTGGCTTTGCTGGTCACTTGAAGTTCTGTGGCAGTCCTTACCATTGGTAAATGTGCTGTGAACAGGTTGGTTTGCTGCAGCTGGCCTGCTAGGTGGCTATGGAAAGGCGGCAAGGGGTGAGGAAGGCGTGTTGGCATCTGCGGGAGCAGCAGCCAAGTGCTGGGCTGTTGGCACCCCGGTGAGAGGCATTTTGGGCTCTCTGGCTATCAGCCACTGTGGGATCAATGAACAACGATATTGCTTGCACAGCGCTTTGGCAACAGAGGGTTTTCTTCTTGTTCTTCTTTGCGGGATTGCTTGAGTCCTTAATGAAGTTGTCATCGATCTATGGCATTCAAGAGTGATCATTTGGAGTTGCTGAGCATAAAATTGCTGCATGTTCCAACAAGGGTGCATGGGTGCTGTACTGAAGAGGTCTTGGAAGCACCAGAGGTATTGCATGAGATTTGCTGAGTACATACGGGCCTGATGCTCACACATTGGTTTGAATTGCCTCATGTCGCTGTTGTTCTGATTGCCCTGTATGTAGCGAACGTGTAATAGCTGCCATGACTTCTGCACATTGGTTGGAAGCTGATGCGGACGAACTGTCATAATCGTTCATCGACAGGCACAATGTGCAATGGATTGGGTACTCTGTTATGGCAACTTCCTTGCCTGTTTCCTGCACACCAACTGTTGTTTGGTGGCAGTGTTTCATAGTTATGCTCAGAAACAACAATGCTGTAGTGGGACAGCCACAACTCCTCTCAGTGATCTGCTGCAAAGCGTGAAATCTGCCTTGTTACGATCAGAAATCAATATCCTCTGCCATGACAAGCTGGTTGAATAGTCCGACAATCGTCAATTTGGCCCAGCACCATTGCTGCCATTGCGCCGGCACCTTTGTGGTTGTCATGTGTTGGATGGATTCCGATTGGTGACAGTGTGTTGAGAATTGCTGGAGAATCGCAGAAGAGAAACAGTTCAAATGGCCTCAACTCGTACTTCTACGAAACACAACCGTTGGTTTGCTGCAGGCTGGCTTGCTACTTCGCAGTCTGTTCAAGGGCCAGCTTCCACCTACATCATTCGCGATCGTGTCATGTGTCGCGACGGGGGCTATCATGGTGGGATGGAGGACGGCGCTCACTGCAAAGGCACCTCTGAAGGTGCGTTGGATATGGGCGAAAGTTGTGACACCCGTGTCAAGTCAACACGGAATGCAAAGGTTTTTCGTTCACGCCACTTCAGGTTTAATGTGGTCCACGCTCAGTTTGCAGTGAGTCAGGCCAGTCCGCTTGGATCGATGTTCGACTGAGATCACCATATTGGGTATTCCTACGTATGGAGGCACGAATATTTCGAATTGAGGCTTGGGCGAGTTTGGCCAGAAAGGTTTTGCTGAGAAATGTCTAGTACGCTGAGCTTGTGGGGTACAGACCATTCTCTTGGAGCCACTTTAGCATCCAGGTAAATGGATGTTAGTTTTTGCTATGTGCTAGTGCATTAAATCTCAGCAAATTTGTTCAATGTTGTATTGCACACTCACTACAAGTTACGCATTTTCTACAGCATTTGTACACATATTATATAATGCACATTTTATGTTATGCATTACATGTACACATGAATAGCTATAGATATCTTTAAGTGGTAAAACTGCATTTCAACATTGTGTGCTATGTTGGCGGCAAATTATGTAGTTTTTGATCGGAACTGTGAAGGTATCCTCACCAGGCACAGTGAACAGGCACAAGAACTGAGACTACAGAGCGAATCCCACGCCAGTGCAGAGCACAGCATAGGTTAGAACCTGCCTTACCCCTCTTTTAACAAATGCATTGTTGCCAAAGGGCACCTCCCATGCACACTGCCCAACGAAAGTAGGGTTGTAGCTATCTGCATCGTCACAGAATGGTTGTTTTGTTGCATCATTGTTTTCAAGAGTGGATTGGAATTCTTCTGGTGTTCAACAAGCTGTTCTGTGCGCCTTGTTGGCGACTTGAGTGCGCATGGAGACTGACAGCTGTGTTGGTTTCCCCCCAGAAGTTGGCACCCGAAACGAGCGCAGGAAAGGGAAACAGAAAGGGCAACGCGTTTGAGTTTCTGTCGCTGCTGGGTTCCCTCACCAAGCGGTGGTGAAGAGGGACGTGACGATTTGCTTGTGCAGCGAGATCCACAACCTGATGCACCTCGCGATCGCCCGAGTCGAAGTTGTTCTGCTTTGCCGAGGTGCTGCGACTGGTGTTCTGCAGAGATGGAAAACTTCATGGGCGACCCTGCCTTCTACACAGAGTTGCTGTCAGCCTCCGCCCGCGCATGGGACAACACGGGCCACAGTCGGTGCGAAGGCTGTCGCGCTCTCTTGCAGAAGTGTGCGATGTCATGGCAGTGAGCATCGCTGCGTCTGTTGGGATTTTGCTTCGCCTGTCAATTTTGGTGGAGGAACTTGCATCCCATTGTGTTGCACGACCACGATCTTTGCGCGGAAGTATGTGTCATTGGGATATTTTGTGACAAATGTAACCTATGGATTTTGATGATGATGATGATGTGTCATTGGGTGGACGTTAGGAAGATCCATGCTTGCTATTGTGGCCGAGGTCGTATCAGCGGTGGCTGTTGCCCGTACCGGCGCTTCTGTAAGCCTGGTGAGCGAAACAGCGCAAAACTCAGTTATCTCAGAAACCCTGCAGTTGGCACTTGTGGCGATTCATAGCTCGCACTACAGTGCAGTTCAATGTCATTGTAAGCATCATTTTTGTTGACACATACGGATGCCATCATGATTCAATGATCAACGATTAATTCGTGGCAATTTGACACAGGTGCTGCCTCTCGTTCCATATCAAAGCCGCACCACTTTACTGCTGGGTATATATGAAACGAGCAGGACCGGAGTGAAGACTGAGACCAATGTACAGTTGATATTATCTCTGTTGTATTAAAGATTGGCTGGATCCAGTGGCAAGATTTGCTCCCCCTGCCGTGCGTTTTACACGATTTCCAGCATGTTAACGTGGTTTAAATACGGTCAGAAACTGTGTGGAATGAGCTGGGTGTTGGCCAGTGTTCACGTGCCTCATCACGGCTCCGGCACGCGAGACATATGCCAACGAAGCAATGCTGTCAGATACCTTGTGAAATGAGAGTGGTAGCCGCATCATGTGACCGATATGTGGCCCACATGCCAAGGGCCATTGGTCATGCCTATGTTGATCAGAGGTCAGCACATCTTGAGGCAAGGAACGTGGGAATTCAGTGCGCAGAGCGAGTCGCAATCGGCATCAACGTGCAAGTAGATGCGCGAATGTAGGGCGTCACCATTTGCAATTTTCCCAAAGTCAGTCTACTCAGATTCCGCTTTGGGGCACACACACCAAGGCAATGTTCCAATTTGAACCGCTTTCTCAGCATAACAGGCAGTGCCCCCGAGGACGCTGCATGGTTTTACTTTCCGGGGCCCAACCATGTTGGTATAAGCCGTTTCACGCTGCCGCGAATTTCTCAAGCCATTTGTGCCTGATCGTGGATACGAACGCTGTCTGCTTCACTGCCGTGCTGCAGATATTGCTCGCAGAAGCACTGCAGAGATTTCGTTGGCAAAGTGCTGATTAGCCAAAGTTTATGTGTTCTTCCTGCTCGTCACCTTGCAAGGGTGCTTCCTTGATGTGCGGTGGCCAACCGTCAGGTTAAAGAAATCGGTTGTTCCCCACCGCGCTCACCAGCGATGAGTCATCCCGCTGGTGCCCGCGCAAAATTCCATGCCCAGCGCCCCACAAACTGGACCAGCAGCCAGTGGGGAAACCATAACGTCTGAAACCGCTCTCTCCGGGGCATTCCGCACCTCCAAACCCAACCCAACCCAACAGCCTGCCCGACCGCCGCGCTCGGCAACCTCCCCCCATCGCCCTTCCACCGGAAGCCACACCGCCGCAACCGGCGGGCCCGGCCGAACAGCGCCCACACAGAGGCTCCCGCCTTGGCCGCTGGATCGCCCTATCTGCCAAACTCTGATCCAAAACCGAACTGGGCCCAAACAGAGGCGCCCGCCTTGGCTGCTGGATCGCCCAATCCTCCAAACTCCGATCAAAACCGCCCCATTGCGCCCCCAATGCCCGTCCTCGCCCCGCGGTCTCACCCAACGTCATTCATCGGACTGGCTCCCCCGGTCGACACCGTCCTCCGCGAGCTCCAGCCACATGGGCGTGAAAATGATCCCGTCCTTCACCTCCTCGGGCCCCGTGGCCCTGAAACCCATCCTCTCGTACGCCGGCACCGCGTTGGGCGTGGCATTCAGGCTTAGGCCCGGGCCCAGGCGCCCGTGCCGCTCCCTCAGCGCCCCGATCACCGCCCCCAGCAGCCGCCTGCTGAGGCCCCTCCCCTGGTACTCCCTCCGTACGAACATCAGGGTCAAATGGCCGGCGCCGCGTGCCTCCGTGACTCCCACGACCTCGCCGGCCTTCGTCGTGGCCACGAGGCGCACCTCGGCCAAGCGCTCCATTAGTGCAGATTCGCTCGCGAATTTGGCAAAGGTGTCGCGCCCTTGTTCTCTATTACTCCCTGTGGCCACCTGGTCCCAGGTCGTGATCAGCAGGTCGGCGATGGCCGGGCATTGGTCAACGGTTGCGGGGCCGATGCTGATGCCATCACCGGCGGGTCGAGATGCCATCGACCGCGGCGGGGGGGTGGGGATCGCGGGGGAGGTCCTCGGGCGGCGCCTGAGGTGGGCGCAGGCGGGGATGGGGCTGGAAAGCTCGCCGCGGAGTGGCTTGGGTCGCGAAGCTGGGCCGCCGAGCCCCGATTGCATGGTAAGCGGGGGCATGGTGGCGCAGCTCGTTGCCGGGGCGCGCTGACCAGCGCCTGACACATATGAAGCTAAGGGGCAGTGTCCCGGCAGCATCCAGTTAGCGATGCATTGCGCTGAAGAAAGTCGCAGCCTCGTTTTCAGTGGTGTTGTAATACAAGCTGAAGGAGCATTGATTATAGCTGAACGCATGAAGAGGCGATGATACATCAGGAATTGATTTAACTACACTGCTGAACGGATCGGACAGAATGGACGACCCTGCAACCTTCGCCAGTGAGATTATCAGCGCGCAGTCAAAACGGAACCAGGACCATTGGGGAGAGCCTCGGGATGGGTTGGTTGGGTTCTGCTGAGGCCTTACAGCCTTGCAGTCTGATTGTATAACTTGAAGTCCATGTGCCCCCTTGAAGTGGGTCCTTGAGGCACCCGGTTTGCAGGCCCCACCCCACCACCCCTCGAAGCAACAGTTTACGAAAAGAAAATGGAAACCGGCTTGGCGATGGCGCCCTAAATGACCCGCAATGCACCACTTTCGGAAAGGAATCTGGGTGCATCAGGGCCCCGATCTGCTCAGCAGGCGCGTCGGCGTGGCGGGGACCGCCATCGGGCCTCCCAGGCGCAGCGGCGAGATCCGGGGCTGGACACCTCGGGCGGGGCGCGACCCAACTTGGTTGTCCGCTGCTCGGGGCGCCTGTCCAGGTGAGTCCGCGCTGGGGCCCAAATGGCCGCTGACCTGCGGCGCTGACGCAGAGATGGCCACCGTGGCTGCCCGCAGGATCCACTCCCAGGCCTTTTTGCCCAGGTCGACAGCGCCTGGCGATCGGGGACTTGCTAGGCGCTTGCAATTGAACTGCGCTCTGGATATGGGGCCCGCTGGGCGACTTGGCCGCCGAGCAGGGAGGCCAATGGGCCCCCCTTTTGCCAATCTCATGTCGAGCCGTCCCCAGTCGGGGTGTCGATCGGGCGGGCAGCGAATTCTGCCACTGGCTTGATCCCCCGCGCGGATTTGACACGGCCCCATTTCAGAACCTTTTATGGAACTGGGACGCTGCAATGCGTGGCCTTCGGGGGTGGTCGTAAAGATCGAAGGAAATGGTGTCTGAGGGCGAGACGGCCGGACGACGGCATCTGGGACCGGCGGTCAGGGACAGCGGCGTCAGGTTCAGACCAGGGGGCAACCAACGGGACTACTTTTGGCGCCCAAAAGCGTTCTAAGTGCGGGTGGCTACCGAAGGGACCGTTCGGCGATTGGGCCCGTTTGAGCAATGGTCGGATTCAGAGGCCAGCGCGGCAGGGACGGAGGCCCGCGCTGAGGACGTTTGTTGCGGCTGCACAGGATGGAGGCTTCCTCGGCCACCGCCCAGATGTCGTGCTTCGCGACGGGCGCGCTGCTGAGGGTGCGGAATGCCGGCAGGCCCAGGTTCGTCGCTGCGAGGCAGGTGGTCGCCATGGCCGAACAGCCCAAGGTAACGCCGAGCTCTGGCTCCGTCCGCTGCGCTCGAAGACCCTGGCGCCGCCGGTTGCGGTGGGCTAGGGAGTGACAGACGCTCTTGCTTGGTGGTTGGTGGGGAAATTTGTGATCTGTATTTGTTCGGTCTTGGGGAATTTTGGACACAGTTGCCAGCATGGACTGTCTCTCGAACTCCTCAAGGCGTCCGAATGTTTGGTGGGCCGTCGAAAGCACCAGCGGGGAGGCTTCGCACCGTCATTCGCCTGGCGGGTCTTGTCGCCCCTGGTGACAGTCTTAAACAGTTGACATTGTAGTGAAAGCATGAATATTGTTGACATTGGTTTGACCGCGGCAGGGGATGGACAGGAGGGGCGCCCTAGCCACCCTTGCCGGATTCGTCGCCGGCGTCTCATACGCTGGCATCGCGGAGGCAGCCATTGACTCCAGTGCACTGCTGGAGAAGTATGAGCAGAACAAGGGTGGGCCAAAGGCATCAGTCAAAAAGGCAGCGCCCGTTCCCAAGCCTGCACCCGCAGCTGCCCCAAAGGCATCAGTCGAAAAGGCAGCGCCCGTCCCCAAGCCTGCACCCGCAGCTGCCCCTGCGCCGGCACCTGCTGCTGGCCCAGCACCTGCAGCCAGAGCTGGTGGGGCTTGGATCCGTCTGATCGATGTCCTCCCTTGTTTCAAATAATGCGCAAGGTCAATACAGAAAGGAATGTGAATTGCCTTCCAATCATAGGTATCGGTGTCACAGCGACCTGCCACTGTAAACGATTATGGCTCCTGCGCTGTGCACAGCAAAGGGCGCCTCTGTTGTTGATAGCACTCAGATGGTGTGCCACACTTGTGTTGGCAGGGGCAGCATCGTCATCAGGCTTCAGTCCTGCTCTGTTTGGGGGTGCTGCTGCTCTCATCGCAGGAGCCCTCGCCCTAGGCAATTCATCTGCGGATACTGCCAAGGGCAAAAAGGTAAAGCTGGCCACTGCAGTGCCCTTCCTTGTATCTAATATGATCAAAAGGGCCTCGGTCAGTCTGATAGGCCTGGCTGTCGCAGGGTTGCCCCTTTGTGCTCTGTGCTTGCACCTCAAATACGGCGGCTTTTACAGACACTGCATGCTTCTGCTGGTGGCCATGGATGCAGGTGCGCGCTGCAAAGAAGCCTGTGAAGAAAATTCGAACCGGCACTGTGAGTTCAAAGTTTTCCGCAAAGAAGAAGATCGTCCCTAAGCCAACATACGCCAAGAAAGTAGTCAGGCCGGCTGTCAAGAAGGTGCCCAAGCCTGTGCCCAGGCCTGCCCCCAAGCCAGCAGCCAAGCCTGCAGCCAAGAAGCCTGGCAAGGAGAGCACCAGCGATCTCATCCCCGTGGCTGGCGTTGGTTTGGCCCTTGCTGCTGGACTTGTCTTCTTGAGCCCAGGACAGAGGGCGACCAGTAAGACCACCCCAGTTGTGAGCTCCCCGGCACCAAGTGCCACCAAGAAGACCAAAAGTGTGGCAAGTGCCCCTGTTGCAGTGTCCAAGGTGCAGCCTGCCCCACCTGTCAAGGCAGCTCGCAAACCAGCTGCCAAGACTGCTTCGGTTTCCAGCCTCAAGGCTGCTCCGCCCAGCAAGGCAGCTCGCAAGGTGGCCCGGAAACCTGCCAAGACTGTTTCGGTGTCCAGCCTCAAGGCTGCTCCGCCCAGCAAGGCAGTCCGCAAAGTGGCTCGCAAGCCTGCCAAGACAGTTTCAGTGTCCAGCCTCAAGGCCGCCCCAGCCAGTAAGGCAGCCCGCAGGCCTGCTCCCAAGGCGGTCAGCAAGCCGGCTCCAAAGCGGCCTCGCAAGGTTGTCAGCAGTGGTCCCAAGCCAAGGCCAAAGGTGGTGAAGAGGAAACAGATCGTGGTGCCTGCAAAGAGGGGCAAGAAGGCCAGCAAGACGTCTGCAGGGACGTTGGCCGATGGCCTGTTCGCCCTCGTACTTGCTGGCACTGCCGTCTACTTCCTTGGTGAAAGGAAGGAGGGCAGCTCATCGTCGTCGTCATCATCTTCTCCTCCAAAGGCATCGTCCACTGCAGCTTCAGGGGCGTCCAGTCCACTGACTCCTGACGAGGAAATCACGCAACGGCAGCAGGATGCAAGCGGGTGGATCGACTCTTACAAGGACCGCAGCAACAAGGGACTTTTTGGATTCAGAAAGAAGGACGATTGAAATCGCGGCACCTCATCTGACGGCATTCGCATTGGCTAGTGAACAACTGGGATGGCTGCTTATGGGACGCACATTTTCGGCTTGCATGGAGTGTTTTCTGAAGATTATTACTGGCAGCCCTGCGGGCGGGTACGAGGCTGTTCAGACCATGAGATGTCTTGGCAATCGACACAGAAGGTTTGCTCTCACAAGATGCACAGTTGGGTGCCACATGGTGCCAAAGGACACACAGCTGTAATGTGCACCATCTTTGGTGGTGTGCCCGGGCGATGGGCTGCAGAATGCTTTCGGTTAGAATTTCTTGGAGTTGCTGGTTTCGCAGATGGCGTTACAAAGCCCCTCTGCACCTGATTACCAACTGTTTCTGACGCCCTCAGCTGGCGACTGCCGGGCATTAGAATTGTCGCCTCCAGGAAGTTCACAGCCTGCAAAATTCCATCCCTTCCCATCAAGCACTATCAGTTTAGCAGATGAGGGCCTCCAAATCCACATTTTGAGCTGTACTGGAGATTTATGTACAAAAGGAGGCTCCACAGATATCTTGTCTGTGCACATGGACATTGGTGTGTTGGCACAAAGCATCCTGAAAACCGGCCACCTGATGCTTTTAGCCACAGGCAATGCTTGGACAGCCCACGCTTGCTGCAGCCCGAATTGCGATGATGATGCTTTAGTCAGGAGTCAAGCTTCCGGCCTGCCCGCGGCGCCTCATAATGACCACCATTTCACTCGCCTGCCGCACATGACCACCGCGGACAGCGGCTTTCTACTGCAAAAGGTGCTGTCCTATACATGGCATGGCCTGAGAAAGCCACCATTGCAAGAAATGGCAGAAAGGACTAGGACAATGCTCTGGTTATGGGTCATTGAGAGCAGACGTCAGACATGCAACCACCTTCCTGCGCAGTTTTCTACATCAACAGCTGAGTTCTATTTGCGTACAACGGTTCAAATGTCGATGCAACCACCCGAATTCACATTCTCGACGATGCCAGCCGACCTGCACCAACGCGGCGCCCGTTTCCACAATTCTCCATTCACCAACACCCTTGACATCCCCTCTACTCAGAGCGGCAGCCAAACTGTCGCACAGGCGCAGAGGAGCATCCAATGGGTCACACCTCGTCGGCTGCCAGGTGCTCCCCATCCCGTGCGGCACCCTCCCAAGACCCTGGCACATTGTCAATGGCCACCTTGTCCAGAATCACCGGGACGCGATTCTCTGGCTTGTACAGGGCTCTGCCGCCCACCACCTTGTGCCTCTTCTTGGGGCTATGCGCATTGCGCAGCGTCTTCCGCATCCTGAACTCCACCTCCTCCAGGATCTTGGCCATCATGGGGACCAGGCGGTAGAACCTGGCCTCCCTCAGCAGGGCGTCCACTGCATACCTGTCCTCTGGCAGCTCCAACGCCCTCATCTTGGAGTAGTGCAGCGTTCTCATGAACTCGAGGACAGGCAGGAACATGTGGGGATCCCTGTGAGTCGCCGGCAGCAACAAACAAACTCATGGGCAGCTGAGACGTTGGGTGAAGTTTCAAGCGCATTCGTTGGCCGGGAGAAGCACGTTGCGGTCGGTGGTGCATTGATGCAGGACAATTTTCCCCTGTGGAGGAGTGACGTGCCACAGGCCAGTGTGTCTTGGCTGATTGAGTGGGTTGATGACAATGCACCTGCCACATGCAGCAAATGAGCACTTACCTGTCGATCAACAGTTGCTGGTCCGACTTGCGCGTCAACTCCTTGCCAGGCCCAGGGCCCAGGGCGCCCAAGCTGTGGTCTTCGAAACCCACAGGAATGTCCGCCTCTGGGTTGAAAGCCATCCAGAAGTAGCTACCCGGAATGCAGGTGAGGGTGGCCCGGGAAGTCACAAAACGGCTCCCACCCACGTCCAAATGAACCACCCTGGCGACAGGTTCGCCGCTGGGGTCGGGAACGGCCACCTGTAGGGCAGCCAGGTCATGCACAGCTCAGACAGACATGATTCGACCTTTAGTCATGTGGATTTCCCCCGTTTGCGCAGTCCGTCCGGTTGGGCAGTAAAGAAGACTGGCTCATTTCGGCGCTTGCGTTCTATTGTATACCTGCATTGATACAAACACCCAGTTGAGGTGCAGATGAGTTCCATTTCTTCTGTCTGCTTCTTTTCTGCGTTGGTGGATGGGTGGCAGACTAGTTGTTTGGCTGATGGCCAGGCGGTGGTTGTCGATATTGACAGCAGTTGGATTGATAGTCATTACTGCAAGGTGCCCTAGACTAGCCCCACCTTTCGTCTTAGCCTTTTCCCCTTGGCTAATTTGTCGTCCAGATTTCGCCCAAGTTTGGAATACCCACTTTCTTGAGCTGCATCCATAGCCGTCTTGCCGTCCTGAGGCGCGCACACAAAGTTCAAACATTGAATATGCTGCTTTCCAGGGAGTTCAAGCTGGCGTTCAGCGAAAAGGATCCATCCCAAAGAGTGATGAGAAAACGTTCAACGCGGGACACCTGGTGAGCATCTGCCGCTTTGTTGTGCAGAGTTTAGACAATGCAATGCATACACAATATGGGCCCACATGTGCAACAACATCAAAGGGACAAGGACTTGGTGCTCCCAAAGCACACCATTGGGCACAAGGGGTGCTGACTCACCTACCTTGTCCTTCGCATCGGGGTCAGCACCATACTTTAGCAGCAATTCGGCCGTGGCCCAATTTCCTCTTCGAACAGCAAGGTGCAGCGGTGTCTCAAGAAGCTGCATGTTGCAGATGGCAGCAACTACAGTGAGGTCACCATTCCAGCACGGAATCAACAAACCGGGGCAAGAAAACGCCAGCTACGACCCACAGGCTGATATTCAACGCATGCTGCTGTTGGCGCAGCAGCAATCCCGTGAAACTGCTTGAATCTCGGCATAATTAACTAAAAATTCAAAAGCGCATAGCTGTGACATCTGCTTGGCAACGGTTCCCTCTGCATCGCAGGCAAGCTTCGATTTCTCTGCAGCAGCTTAAGGCAAATAGACCTCGAAGTGCAGGAAATGCAAATGGCAGCACGTGGATTCTGGTGGCTCAAAAGAGGATGCATGCAGCCAATACGGTTATATGCTGCAGGAATCGACCCAACACCAGTCGTTCAACGAGGGCGTTAGTGCCGCTCAGGGGCCGCCATCCTAAAGGCCAAAAAACGCTACATATGCTTGGGATTGTGCATCGAGAACGCCCACCTTATTCACAGCATCAACGTTGGCGCCCGTATGGCACAGCACCCTGGTGATGTCTGCGCTCCCTTTGTCTGCAGCGAAGTGCAGTGGTGTCCAGTGATGCTGTACGCAAAAATGGACCACAGCAAATGAACACCTCCTCCCAATCAAGCGTCTGGGAGCCACAAAGCGACATATGCTTGGCATACACTGCTCTGGCCCCTTGAAAGTGCGCCTATGCATCCCCAGTCCAGTTTGACCTATTCTGTTCAATGCACAAACTAGCGACCACAATCGTAACAAAGTAATTTGTATGAAGATCGTCCAAAGTCAGGAACACAACTGTCACACCCTTTCTGAAATCATGAACTCAGCTGTCTGGAGAAAGACCCATTTCCTGAATAAGACTGTGGAACTGGCCTGTACTGTCAACGCCCCTGCGCGGAGTGGCCCTTCAACTTAACATGCAACCTGCAGAGCAACTGTTAGGGCAATACCTTGTCTAACTTATTCACATCAGCCCCTGCATCCACCAGAAGTGCAGCATTCCTGGTACGCCCTGTAGCACAAGCAAGGTGCAGAGCCGATCGACAAACCTGACAAGCAGAATCATGGTAGCTGTTTTAGGTCACAGAACAGATAAGAACAACACGAGCATCAGTCCATTGTGTTTCAAGATTTGAAACAAGCCCTGCTATTGCTGAGGCAAAAGCAGCGTTTGCTTGATGACATTGTCATGGAGTGGCGGTTTACGACAAGAAACGAATTTTGAGCAATAGCCCCTTCTGCCAGATCGGTTGGTTTGTGCACATGGAGCACCCCAAGTTGGGTGGACAAAAGATGGCTACTGTGGGCCATTGACTCACCCTGTTGACACGCTGCACATCTGCCCCACTGTTGATTAGAGTCTGCATCACAGCGTAGTTGTTGTTGTCCACAGCAGCCATCAGTGGCGTCCAGGAAGTCTGGCAGCATCACAGTTGGCACCAGGAACTAGCTATAGTCAGTAAAACTCAAAATCAGGGCACTGTGACATGTCCTAAGATGCCCAGTGTTTCGCAGTTCCTGTGCCAAAAGCCGTGACTATTCCAAAACAGTGAAGCCCTGATTTCGCACTATCTTGCAAGCCCATTCTGGGTCCAGTTCGCTAGCAACCATCTACCTAATTTGGGATGTGAGGGTTGGGATGCTTTCTAGCCAAGCATAGCATGGTCCTTGTACACTGCTAGAAAACTCTGCTAGTCCATGATCTGAGACAGGCAGAGATTTGTGCCATGAGAAACATGTGATTTTTTCCTCGCGCATAATGGATACATGATTCATTCTCCATTTTCCAGCTTGCAGGTGGCCCAATGACCATACAAGAGACAAAAAAACATACAGCATGCCTGCAGGAGCACCCAAACATTATCCAGAGTTCTTGCATTTGACAAGGAAAAACTGCAAGAACAAGTTCCAAAGAAGACATCACAGTTCAAGAAAAGACAGGTGGGGCTTATATTGCTCAACAACTACGATGGCCAGGATGGATCCAGCTTTCAGCGTTAATCAGTGACAGTTTTGCACACAATATGATCATATTGAATCAATGCAAGGCAAGTGCCAGAGCTGTTTCACTGTGCTCAGGGCACAACATACATGGTTTTTGTGTGCCCATACCTCATCTGTCAAATCCACTTTGGCACCTCTGTCAAGCAGAAGCTTCACAATTCTATCTTGTCCTCTGTCAGATGCGTACAAAAGTGGTGTCCAGCCGTCCTGGAAAGGATGTGTCAGTACTGTTGCATGAAACTTTCTTCCCAATTCACTCACCACTCACTATGCTGTGACAACATGTGGGAGATTGCTGGATGCGCACAACTGCATGTCAGTACTGACAGATTGAGACTGGCAGGAATAGTGGCTGTGCATTTGGCAGAGAGGAGAACCAGATTCAACCTGAACACAGGCGAATACCCCACAGCATGCCAAGCTGGTGCCACAATTTCATGCAAAGTCTGGAGTGCAACATCTCTGCTCATGTGTTCTTTTTCCAAATTCCAGCAGGCTTGGGAAAAATAGGATTGCTTCTTGGCAATACCTTATTGACTATGGAACGCATCACTAGCTCCCCTGCCATGTCAGCAGAGGTTAGAACACCATCCACTGAACAAACTTGTTGAAAACATAACACAATATCAGCGCATTTAAAACATAGCTGCCAGCATACTGCCTGCCATATCCCTGTGTTTCAGGGCCTTCACCTTTGGCAATCAGCATGCTTATTCCTCTGAGCACCAAGGAGTCCAGGGCATTTGGACCAGACATTCACCTTATCCTTCAGATCAGGGTCGCAGCCCTCAGCCAGTAGGTCCCAAGAAGTGTCTGCATCTCCTTGTCTTGCCAATCGACACAGACTTTCCACAAGTGCCTGCTTTGTCCTTGCCCCACCTGAGACACATAAAAGGGCATTAAACACAGAGACATAAGATGAATGCAGCAGGATGGGGTTTCAATGTTCAGATTCGCTGCTGACTGATTGCCTTTGGGGCATGCTTCTCCTGGCGTTCCCAGAGACTTCTCTTGCACTGGGCAAAATCTCAGTAGTTTTGTTTTTGGTCTGGGATACCCGTTGCACAGGTTGTTGCTTTCCGAGCGGGACCCTTCAACCCCTATTGAGAAAACGAAACAACAGCAGCCATGCAACATTGCTGGCGTTCCAGGAGATTCTGCAAGTTCCTGATGCAGATGCCATTTACGCCACCAAGGCTGCACTTGTCATGCACCTGGCTGTTCCTATCTGTAGCCTTTGCAATCTGCCAACGCTCCCAACTTGGGTACCCCAAGATTTTCGCCTGAGAAGACAGCACAAGAGTTTTGCAGCCAGACAACCGTGCGCTTGTGACACAGCTGCGAGGCCCCCCCACCCCACCCCTCGCAACCCACCTTTCTTCACAATTCTTTTGAATTCTCTGCCCCGTACAGCAGCGGGATCGATCGCTCTTGTGGACATCCCAGAGAAGAAACCGTATTGAAGCGCTCTCTGTAGAGCCCACAGGCGACCGGCCAGAGTGTAGGAGGCCATGGTGCGCACTAAAGCAGTTGATTTTATCCCGAGCCGTCGGGACTTGGGAGCTTATCTTACTCTCCCTTATCACGGCATCATCAACCATGAGTAGTCCCTGCAAAGCGGATACCGGCGTCAACCCGGGACTCCTCCCCAGATTCGAAGGCCTCCCGTTGTTGCCCTCCAAATCACTGGGCGCCCTCGCGAGCTTGAACGCACGATGCTTGGTGAAAACCGCGAAAGCCGTTCATTGAAGTACACGTCGTCTTTCCCACAGTGCACTTCCCTAAGCCCAAGAACCTAGGACCCTTCAAAGATTCACCCTCTTGTTAGGTTAGGGGCTTGGGCATGGCTCCTTGAACAATCAGCGAGGTGCCAAACAAGCGCTGGTAGGTTGGCCCTGATCGCGCCTGTCCAGGCCACCAACGACGTCTTCTCTATCGTCTCCCCTTGCTCCGTCTTGGCCGACAGGCTGAGGCGCGTGGCGACTGGCGGCAGCCCCTTGGGCGATGAGCAAGGGGAGGTCTGGCAACAGGGAGAAGCAGCAGTGGTTGGGCGCCGCGACATCAGCGTTACAGGGCGCTGTACGGCCCACGAGGGCTTCTAGCGGACGCACGGTTGGGGAGGGGTTCTCGGGTCGTCCGTTCGCATGGAGAGGTGTTGAATCCAAGGAGCAGAGATCTCGCTCACGAGGGCAAGGCAGAGCGTTTGCGGACGCGGAAAGCAGCCATCTTGCCCGGGAGAGAAGCAAACGAGCCCTGCGCAGTCTGCGGCCGACAGGTGGGCGGCAGCAGCGTTTGCAGTAGCAACCGAAATTGAGGTGTTGTCAAGCCCTATTCTGTCGAGCTTATTGTGTGGCATATTCTGAATTTGATCAAGCCCAACGTGTGTGTGATCATTGACAAGAAATTCGATACCGCTGTAGAGATATTATCATAGGTGGCTTCTCAAGTGGCTATCAATTTCCTCAGTGTGGAGCATTCAACATAGCCTGATTGCAACATTTCAGTCTGTGCTTTCATGCTGCTTGTTCCTCAAGATGGTTAGGTGTGATTGCTTTCAGGTATTGGAACCGATCAGAGAGACCTACAATACATCCCCTATGGAAACATTGGTGCCTCAATTGGGATGGTTGCAGGAGCTCTGGTGGGCCACTTGTACTGCCCAACAGAGCCAGATAGTGCAACCTACACAGTGTTCACGACAGCGGGCGGCAGCATCTTTGGGGGCATTGCTGGGTGCGCCCTGAATAGGGCTTCACGGGCTGTCTGGAATTTCAAAGGCGGGGTTCTCAGGCCCCTCGTGATTGTGACCGGTGGGGACATGGTTGCCTCTTGGGCGTTGGCAAGGAGGGGCAGACCTCGACGTTGCCATGATCACACATTTGGTCCTCTGGCGCTTGGTGTGGCTCTGGCAGGATGTGCAGGTCATTTTTTGTGGGGACAAAAGGGAAGGAGATAACAAGCTGCAACCATTACGTCCATATTCACCCACAAATTGATTGCAGCCACAAATGTACAGAAACACTTTCCTTGTGGATCTCAAAATTGCCCTTGCTGCCACTTGCTGAAGCCAGCTATTGCCACCATTTTTGTCTGTTAGTTGATGCCGGTATAAAGAATGGGCTGCCCAGTCTGTCCGAAAACAGCCAGAACCACCAGGCAGATCTGTGCTGCAAAATCGAGTAGATGAACATTATGGCTGTGATTTGTGGCTTCTCTGTCCCATCCTATGCACCATCCATTCTGGCTTGCAGATACTTCCCATGGACGTCCAATATGCCAACAAGGGGACCTCCACAGCACTGCATCAAGCAGTGGTGCGAACTCAAAGACACAGTGGCATGGTATGCGATTGAAAAGGGACAAACAGTGTTCCTCTGAGCACACCACAGCTCAGCGCTGATGGATGCACAACAAAAGTCTGGCTTTGTGGACCAGCAATTAGATGTTCGCAAGATGGTTAAGCTGTGCCGGACATCTCCTTGTGTACCAAAGATGGAGACCGTTCCGTGCTGGTCTTGTGGACCACAAATGTTTGCCACACTGCACTTGCTGCGAAACGAATGCTGTGGTCCATTGGGAACGAATATGTTCTTGTCCATTGTGCACCACCCACACTGCAGGCTGGCAGGCGGGACTGCCTCCCTTCGAGTCCCTGCGTGACGTCACAACAGCGTTGGAATTTTGCATCAGGGCAGTCGAGTCCATCGACCCAGTGCATGCTTACTGGCCGTGCTGGCCCAGGACTCTTTGCGTTAAAACTAGCGAGTTCCCGAACGGATTGGCAACAAAACTCGCGTATCCTCTATAGTACAGTGACTGCTTGCAACGTACACAGTTATCCCACAGCTGAGGTCAACACACCGGCGAACGACGCCCAACGCGATGGGCTCAGCTTGCGTATAACCTGCACGCATGAACTTTCCAGCACCATCAAACGATGCACCTCCGATCGTAACCAGCTGCAACCCAACACTCCGCGCCGTCCCCCAAACCTCCCAGACACTTCAAGGCCAGCCGCCCAACCCCCGCTGTCGCCTCACAGCCCGGCCCTCCCGTGCCAAAGGCTACAGCCGGCCCAGCGGGTCGCCATGGCTCCGCGCCTTCAAGATGGACGGCTGCTCCATTCCGACGTCTCCTCGAAATGCCTCCGACCTGTGGGCTTGGGTGCCGCCCAGGCCTCGCTCCCAGACGTCGCCCCCCCCTTCCTCCTCCCCGGCCGTCTCTGCCCAATCAATCGCCGGGCTCATCTCCGGGACAAGCCCGTCCAACTTGCCAGACGGCCCTGCGCCATCCTCCTCCTCGGCCGGCAAATCCGGCGTGCCTGGCAGCCTGTAGTCGATGCTCCCCACGGGCACAAACTCGCAGTACGCGCCGCTAGCCAGTGAGGGGCCTCCCCCTTCCAGTCCTGCGCTCTCCCCGCCGTGGCCCGGCAGCGCACACAGGTACAAGGGCCTGTGGGACCTCAGCACCCTGACGAATTCCTCGTACACCAGCACGCCGTCGGTGGCCCCCCCCTTGTTGAGCAGTTGCAGGAACGTGTCCACGTCCTGGTCCGTCAGCATGCCGCCCAGCTCGCCCATCGCCGCCTTCAGGTCCGCCCCGGTGACCTCCCCGTTGCCGTCCTTGTCGAAGAAGCAGAACGCCCGCCGCAGCACGCGCTCCTCGTCTTCCGTGTCCAACATCAGCTGGAACCACAGGTGGGCGAAATCGACGAAGGTGCGGCCGCCCAGGCCCATCATCCGCAGCTTGGACTCCACCACGTCCTCGGACGGGTTCATGCCCACCGCGAAGCACAGGGCCAGCAGGTCCTGGCGGGCCAGGTCGTCCCGCCGGCCCGCCAGGCCAAGCCACTCCAGGCAGCACTCAGCCATGCCGATCTGCTCCTCCGTCAGGCCCGAGTTGCCCAGCGTCAGCACGACCTCCTCCTCGCCCCTGGGCAGGCAGCTGCGCAGGCCGTGCAGCAGGGCGCCCCAGAGCCAGCACATGCTAACGCCCTGCGGGCGGCGCCAGGGCAGCGGGGCCAGGGGAGGGACGGCCACGCACACCGCCGCCCATCACCTTTCCGCTCGGACCCACGCCCGCGCACTCGCTGCGAAGCCCAGCCGCGCAGACGGTCCCCCCCCCCTTGGCCAGTCGTCCGACAAGGGGCCCAAGGGCCCAAGCCAGCCGCGCGGTGCGGACTCTGGTTGCCAAGCGCAGCCCCCGCCTGACGCCTTTCGTGTGACGTCTTTGGCGGGTCGCGGCGCCCTCCGGCGCTTGCCAGTCGCGGTGGCGCTTCTTCAGCACTGAGCGGGGTGCCCGTCGTTCCAGCTCCCCTCCTCAGTGTTGGACCCGGCTGCTTTGCCTCGCCCACAGCCGCGGACCCGACGCTTTGCGTGGGGGCAGGGGAGCGGTCCCCGGGGGCCCAATAGCTGGACTGGGAGTCCGGCGCACGGACGCTGGACCTCAGGCGGGCCAGGACGTCATGCCCTGTGGGTGGGTGGGCCTTGAAAGGTTTTGGCCGAGTTGACTGCCGGGGCTCTTTGATCACGATGCAGCCGGCAGCTGGCGCGCGCCGCGGGGGCCTGCGCGGGCCTGCCCAAGCATGGTGTCCGCATTGGCAAGGCACGGGATGAGTAAAAAGTTGGAAGAAGTGAAAAGTTGCGAAGAATTGGATGGAGGGGTCGAGGTGGGAGGCAGAGCAGCGCAGAGGGGATGGGCAACGTCCGAATTGCAGCAAAGCTGATGCATTGGATGTGTGCCAGTTGGCAACTGGAGGTTGCCGAAGCGCCTGAAGTGATGAGGGCAACAGGGGTCCGCAGAGCTGGCTGCTGAAGCCGCGCCATGCGCCGCGCCGCGCAATGTAGCAGCAGCGTGTGGCTTATCATGGGGTGGGGTTATGCTGCCCGTCGGAGCGTGAACTGCTGATGCGGCTGTCGCTTGGAAAGCCAGCATGATGGCAGCGGCGGCTTGCAGACGGCTTTTCTGTGGTCTGTGAGCTCTCGTGACCAGCGAAATATGGGCAGTTTAACGCATTATATAATGCACTGTGCCGTCCAGGCATGGGGCTCAATGTTCTGGCGTCTTGATGCCCAACGATCTGCTGCCATTGGACGGCGGGACCGCCCACTTATGACCGCTTCACATAGTCTTACTGTGTGACCGGTCCCACAGATAGCTGTGCAGGTCCCACATGTGACCGTCGCGACAGTGCCATTGAAGTTGACATGCACAAAGCTTAGTAGTGTTTTTCATCCGTTGTGCAGAGCGCACACGGCACTCGTTGTCGGAGGCAAATTCACCGGATCCGAAAACACAGTGGGGAAAATGAGCGCGGTACTAATGCTCCTGCGCATCAGGTCGCCCCTCGAGCGCAACACGTCAAAATTAGGGACTCCCGGGCGCTTCCAGCCCTCCTGTACATTCCAGCAACGGCGAGAAGGTGCGCCCTTACGCACCAGCGCCCCCGCCGTGTGCTCCCCCGTACATTGCGCCCCTGCTGCGATGACTCCGATGATCCCGGTGACGGGCGCGACGCCCGCCCCGCCATCAAGGCGCCGCACCGCCAGACGCCCGAGGTGGCACCCCACCCCGCCACACCGCCACACTTCGGAGGGCCGGCAGGGCTGGCTCCCCTGAGGGCAGCCGTCCCGATCAAAGCACCCCCTCCAGCCGATAGTCGGAACAATTAACCTCTGGCTTGGGGGCAAGCGTCGACACGATGGGCAGAGAAGTGATGCCGGACGATTTGGGGCGCGTGGACGGGGGGGACGGCATCGACCCCCCCACCTACCGCTCCCTCACGCAGTCGATAGCCGCGCAGCTGAAGGAGAAGTCCCGCTCGCAGCTGTACCCCGAGACGGGCGTGTCGCAGCCGGACGTGGACGGCCGACGGCTGCGGTTCACGCGGCTGATCGGCGGCGGCGCGTTCTCGGACGTGTTCGAGGTGGACCACGTGCCCGGGCCGGGATTCGACCCGGAGAGGAAGCGGCGGGTGGCGGTCAAGGTGCTCAAGCTGGAGGAGCGCGACCAGGAGCGGGAGGTGGTGGACTTCCTGAGGGAGATACAGATCATGCGGGAGCTGCCGGAGAGGTGGGGCACGGGGGCCGCTGGGCGCTCGAGCGGGATCGCGCCGGGCGTGGCGGCGCGGGCGGAGCCTGGGAGCCGGGCGGGCCCCGCGCTGGACGCCGGGCGCGCGGCGGCGGTGAACTGCGGCGGACATCGTTGGGGCATGCCGGATTGTCGAGTTCGCGTCATGCGGAGTTGCGTGGCCGCATTGCGTTGTTTCGGGTCCGGGTTTGGTTGGGAAATGGCCGGCGGGTCGCTGCGCGCTGCCGCGACAGTGGGGCGGCGCCGGCGGTCGACGTGCCGTTGGGCGCGGTCGGTGTCGCGCTGCGGTGGAGTGGGGAGGGGACCCGCACGTGTCGTGTTGGCTGGGGTGATGCTGGGGAAACGTTATTTAGTCGCTGCCTTCCAACGTCAGCATGGAGGCCCCGGACGGGGGCCGGGCCGCGCCGGGCAGGACACGCTCGCCCCTAGCTAGGGGCGAGCCGCGCCCCCCGTGCGCCCCCTCTGCGAAAACGGCTAAGTCGTGGGAGGGGGCACCGGCGCCTACCCTCCACAGTTGCGCTTGGCACAGGGGGCGAACGCCAAGGGTGGACTGCCGTCTCCACGGGGCTTAAAGCGTGGCCACAAAACATGCCATGAAACGGCGGGAGCGGGAGGCCGAAAGTTGCCATTCTTGCCCCTCGCAGCCACCAATTGGTGCAACCCGCAGGTGCCCAGATTGGCACCCGGGAGTTGCACCATTCGGCGCCCACAGGGGCCGAACGCCCAAGGGTGGACTGTGGCCTCCACGGTACCCCAAGCGTGGCCACGAAACATGCCACAAAACGGCGGGAGTGGGAGGCCGAAAGTTGCCTCCCACTCCCGCCATTCTTGCCCCTCGTAGCCACCGATTGGTGCCACCCGCAGGTGCCCAGATTGGCACCCGCGAGTGGCACCATTCGGCGCCCACAGGGGCCGAACGCCAAGGGCGGACTGGTGTCCCCGCGGTGCCCAAAAAATGGCCACAGGCAAACGCCACAAAATGGCAGGAGTGGGAGGCCGAACGTGGCCACACACTCCCACCCTTCTCTGGCCACCGATAGGTGCCACCCGCGGGTGCCAATCGGGTTATCGCAGCTGGCAACATTCGGCACCCATAAAGCGCCCAAGCGGGAAGCACGCTTCGCCGCGCATACAGCGAGATCCGCCGCGGGTCTTGCACCTCGCCCGGCCTTCTGGAGAGGCCCGCTGCCCCGGCCCTTTTGTAGACACACCACCCGTCCGTTGCGAACTAACCAGCTCGCGGAAACTGATGCACGCCGGCGCCTCTGTCTACAACATCGCGGAATCCCCGAACTTCCGTCTGCGAAGTACGGAGGAATATTGCGTACAACAAAGGCGGGAAACAGATCGCGAAATTCCGTGAACAGAATGGTCGTCCGCGAACCCACGGACGGCAGTGCCTGGACGGATGGCAGCCCCATAAAGCGGTTCGCGGTCCGTCCGTCCATCCGCGAGTTCCGGAAAGGGCTGGGGTGGTGCCTCGTGCTGTGCACCAGTGCTCGCGCTCCTTGCAGGGCCCTGAGCTTCAAATCGTGAATGGTGTGCCTGGAGGCTAGACCCCACAGGCAGCGACTTGCAACGCCAACGGCGCCCGCCGGGCCAGCCGCGACCACGGCCATGGGTGTCGAGGTGCGGAACTGCGGAACTGCGGAACTGCGGAGGGGGGGCGCCAGTGCCACTTCCCACGACTTGGCCGCTCTCGCAGTGGGGGCGCACGGGGGGCGGGGCTCGCCCCTAGCTAGGGGCGAGCGGGTCCTGCCCGGCGCGGCCCGGCCCCGGTCCGGGGCCTCCATGCTGACGTTGGAAGGCAGCGACTAAATAACGTTTCCCGTGATGCTGGCTGTGTCATTGTCCGAATCAGCGGATGATGGCGCCTGCGGCCGCCTCAAAAGACTGATGCGGGGCGCGGTGTCGCGCATGGCGGACTGGGGACCCGCCCCCGCTGATTCTGGGTGACTTTGTCGCTGAGTGTGTGCGACCGAGCTTCGCGGGGCGGAGCGGTCGTCGAGCGGCCGGCGCCCGACAGGGCGCGAGCGAGCGCGGATGGCCGTGTGTGGAGTCGTGGATTGTGCGTGAATGCCTCTCGTGTGGGCGTCGCGCGGTGCGGGGGTGCCAGGGCGACGGCATCTGCTGGAGAAGCTGCGATTCGGAAGGGGAGCAAAGCCCTGGGCCCCAAGCTGCGTCCGACGGGCGGGAATGCGGATACCTTGACGCGTGCAGCGTTTCAGACACTTGACGCGCCAAGGGTTTGCGGTCGTGCATCGCGGCACTGCGCGCACCGTGCAGGGGCTGCGTTGTGCATTGCGGAGGACAACGTACGGACCGCCCGCACAGCGATACAACACCAGAGGAGGCTAACTGACGGCATCGCACGCGCGTCGCTGCCCATATGCTGGACGTGAAGCAGTATAGAAGGATCACGCAGGCTCTGCTCAACCTGCTATCAGTCAGCAGCTGTCAGTCTGCTGGCCGTCGTGTTGTCAGTGTATAAAGGGGTCTGAATGCGCTGAAGTGCACTGTTGACGGCTAGCAGTGACCAGCACCTCTGCCAAACTCACCCAACATCAGCTAATGGGTAAGGTGGCCACGCACTGCTGTGCTTGGGAAATGTATTGGCAACTGTTGGTGGAGCAACTCGCTCCTCAGCCACAAGGAGCAAGCAGCGAAAGCTTTTACTGCATAAGGAATACCAAACATGCACCCACAGTGTACTGTGGGTAGCATGAGCAGCACCCTGGCTGCTCCCCATTGGTTGTGGTCCCTTTCACCAAGACCATATCTGCCCACAATCTTGAATAGCAAGGAGTGCTATTTGTGTGCTGCAAAGTCCTTGGCAGTGTCTTACGCACTACCGATTTGCAGGAACTACTTCGTTAAGTACCTGGGAGCTGGCAGCCTGGACAAGTGGAATCCTGATATGAAGAACAAGTCACTGTTCATAATGATGGAGTTCATGAACCAGGGCACACTGGGAGACCTTTTGGTGCGGCAAATGTCTCGCCCAAGGAAGCCCTTATACACCAAGGAACAGGCCGTGCAATGGCTTCTGCAGGTAGCCCGTGCTCTCCATGCCCTCCACAGCGCAACCCCAAAGGTGAGGAATGCCTGACCGAAAGCCATGGGTCAGATATTGCCATCCATCCAAGGCCCCTAGGGCGCCCTCAGAGACTTGTGAATATTTCGTTGGCAGCAGCGGGCATGGGGTTCGCATCGAACAGTTGTGGTGGATTGGCGACTTTAGTGGATTTGGAAGTTGACGGGGATTTCATGCTGTTGCACAGCGGCTTGGTGTAAGAGTGCTGTTCACTATATTCATGAACAGTCCATTGAAATTGGGCTGGAGTACAACAGATGGTTTTGTGCAAGATTTGTCGATGATCGTATGACACCAAGTCTCTCAGCTACAGGTCAATGTCAAAGGTCGCCCCTTTGTCTGCCTGACCAATGTTTGGTCAGTATCTGTATTGACGTTGCATATTGGCAGTTGCCTCCAGACTACATGACAGGCTATCATGTGGAGCGAATTTCCAAGTGTAGTAATTGGAGACACAGCACAAGGGATTTTGAATATAGTCTCCCTTTTAAAGTGAGAGGGGAAGCTGGCGATCTCTGTTGTGGGACTCTTCAACAAGAGTTCTGTACTCACCAAGGTTGGGGTGGCAGATCTTCTGGCTGGGAATACGGAACAGGTCACTGCACATCGGCCCTGCTATCTGGAATGCTATTGCCATCACCTGCGAAGGTGTTTGGGGCTAAAAGAATACCATGAACGATACTTTATGCAAGCACCAGTCTTTCCTCTTGTCCTGGAGGATAATGACGTAGTTGGGTTTGATGTTGCTGTGGCAGATCTTGCACCGGGACGTGAAGGCTGAGAACATTCTGTTGACAGGTAAGAATGTTGAAGTGCACAGTCTATCATGTTTCCTTACAGCAGGCACACTATATCTTCTATGGTGGACATCCCAGCTTTCCCAGGGAAGGCAGGGCTTTCTTGACGGACGAATATTGCTTGCAGACCTTCCAGTTGCACATGCATGAGTGGCGGTGATTATGATGAGCTTCAGTAGCAATTCATCAAATACCCTGCCATGATAATGTTTGGTGATTGCTCTTATGTTTCTGTGGAGCAGAAGAAGGGCAGGGGGACGTCATTGCCAAGCTCGGGGACTTTGGGTTGCACACATGCGTGGCAAAAATTCCAGGCCACAGCAGGTGTGTGATTTGATGCTCTCTTGTTCTTCGGAAACATCAGATTTATAGTGCTGCTGTGAGATTGTCAAACACTGTGGCAGGTTTGGCTGGGAACATTCAAACGGACATGCGCACACATGTTTGCAGCTCAACAAGACAGATGTTGAGATTGGTGGCGGACAGAATGCAAGGGGTGCAGTGATGGCATGATCCTGGAGGAAAATGCTGGAAGCAGTTTGATGTCTGGTTTGAATCGATTGGGTTGCTCTGCTGGGAAGGCACATGCTCACAGCAGTGTGGCGCCTCGCGCAGGGGCGTCCCTGTGGTTCCCAACCAGATCATTTGGGCCAAGGATGATGGGACCATGTCACCAAAGTGCCAAATCCTTCTACCCAAGAATGTGCCAGCCCCTGAAGAGACCATGTCGCGGATGTCAGATGACTCCACACGGGGGCTCACGGCTGAAGAGGTCAAGTACAGGCTGACCACAAGGGTTGGCAGGTACAGCTGCTAAAATCAGGCTCACTGAGAGAAACTGATGTGCACCGTCAGTAGCTTTCCCCTATTTGCATTCTTTACGTGTTTGTTTCCCTTGGCACAAGCCACCTGAGATTCATTGTGGGTTGTGATTTTAAACAGTTGGTGCACAGCAGTAAGGATCTTTTGGTCCATGCGCATGCAGACTGAAGACTCCATAGCCTTCATTGTTGCAGATCCACATTTCATGCCAATGTGCTTTAGAAAGTTGGCAACAAATGGTTGTCAATGAGACTTTCCAAACCTTGGCCTGGCGATATGGCAGGTAGTAAGCATGTGTTACTTGTGGTGTTTTTGATCCAAGCATTATCCCCGGGGCGTGTCGATGGGATGCCTGCCTGTTTGCATGGGGTTTTGGTCCTTTCTCATGTTGCATTCTTGTGTTTCTGTGTTTTCCAGTTATATGTACATGGCGCCTGAAGTATACTTGGAGGAAATGTACTCTGAGAAGGTGAGGCTGCTTGCAAGAGAGAGGCCATTGGTTTGGATTCTGGCAGCCTACTTGTTGTACAGTTTTGGAACCTGAGCTTCTGTGTGTGAATCTGAAATATCTATTTAAATCGTTGGTAGTAGATGAAATTGTTCGTTTGTCAGATACTGACAGCGCACTGAACGATGCTAACGCAATTGGCTAATGTAACGTCCGTCTCAGGACACATTACTATGCTTGTGATCCGGGCGCTGCACAGCAGTGTCTCTTGACACATTGCACTTATGATGCAACACATGAGCGTGGGTTAGCTCCCTTCTAATTTGCGTGTTGTGAATGCTGACACTGTGATGTTGTGATGCTGTTGCTTATTGCACAATGGCTCACCCCTTCCGTGCGCCGCAGGCCGACGTCTTCTCCTTCGGCATGATCATGTACGAGCTCCTAAGCGCGCGCCTCATGCTGGTCGCCTACTCCAAGCTCATCGAGGAGCGCGGCGACAGGCTAGGCGTGCGCGAGTACGCGCGCCGCGTGGCGCGAGGCTGGCGCCCCTCCTTCCGCGTGCGCCTCCCGGAGCCCCTCAAGCAGCTGATCAGCGAATGCTGGTCCGCGGATGCCGCCCTCCGGCCGTGCATGGCGGACGTCATCACGCGCCTGAAGGGCGTCCTTGCCAGCGGGTGCCTGGAGGAGTGCGGGGGGGCAGAGGGGGGGCCGCTGGGCGGCCTGGTGCGGCGCGTGGCGGGGTGGATGGGGGGCGTGTGCGCGGGGTCTGGACCGCCGTGCCCATGCGCCAGGAAAGGCGCCCATGACGCCAGCCCCACAAGGCAGGGCCTGAAAAGGCCCGAGCTGCAAGTGGTGTCGTCGTAGGGAGGCGTCGCGGAAAAGATCGGCGGGCTTTGGCCGGGAAGCGCCCCAGGCGGGCTTGCTGTTCCGGTGGGATTCAGGGATGGGAGGGGGCCCGAGCGGGCTTGCAGTCTCGAGGGGCTGGAAGATTTTGAGGGCGAACACAGGGGTCAACAACCCCGTCGCAGGCCGTTCGGTTCGGCGTAGATGTGGGAAGGACGTAGTTATTTGGGGTGCTGTAGTTACAAGCATTTCCGCGCATTGAGGAGACGAGGCGGGGCGGGGACTCCCCGGCCCTGGACGCCGCTGCGCGAATATTTTGGCGGAGAGACGAGTAAAATTTTTGGCGGGCAGAAGAGGGGCCTTGTTGGGGTTGCGACTGCGGAAGGGCCTGGCCTTTATTTCCCAGTGTCGAATAAGCTGTGGGCATGTTATCACTGCTGTGCAGGGCGCAGCGTGCCATTGTGCCGACTGCCCTCTTGGGTGTCGAATATCTTTTCGCCTGGACTCTGGGTGTCTGAATACGGTGAAAGCAACGAATACGGTGACCATGGGGACCACCACAGCCCACCCAGCCCGCAGCGTTGCTGGAGGGCTGCCACAGGAATAGGGAGGCTGTTGTATAGTGAACTTGACCCATGAACAGGGTTGAGAATACTTAGGTGTTGAATGGGGGGTCAAGTTGCAAGCACTCGCCTCGCTCGCGGGTGAAGAGTGCCTTTGTACCTTTTCGAGGGGCTTTTGTACATTTTCTTTCCTCTGTTAGGGCTTTCTCGCTGCCAGATTTCCCAATGGCGTGCTCTGTGCACGAGGCTATGACCGCCATGAGGCAGCAGTAGGTGACAGAAAGCTGGCAGTAGGCTAGGAACAGTTGCCGCTCCAGCAGCATACTATTTCAAGACTTCAGGCAGTGATGCTATTGTAGCCTCGTATGTGACGTTTTGTGCTGGAGTTGGCCAGTGGGTGGCTCAGGGGCAGATTTCCTAGGATCGCGTTTGTTCCTTGTGATAAGATGGGGGCCTTGGGGACGGATTTCTTGGGATCATGTTTGTTCCATCGATTGAGATGGTTCCATGCACAGATTGAGATGGGTCGCTCATGTGTTGCATTATGGCAGGATGCTCGCAGCATGGCAGGGTAAATGGATCCTAGCCGCCGACTTTCCTCATGTGAGAGCGCCAGCTTGCAGAAAGCTTCGCTGGTCGGCCTCTGTGGAGTTCGAAAATCGAAATCGCCTGTGCCAACATATCCATGTGCGAAATGTGGATACCAGATTCCATGTCGACAGTTGCTTTCCTCATATCTTCGTTGGCGTATTGGTTATCAGCGTCTGTTGGTCCACAGGCTATAATAAACTATGGACAGCGTGCTTTGCGCTTCATGCTTGCTCCACAGCTGGCCGCCCTTGCAGCGTGTACACTGGTTCGTGTGATACGTATCATGTGGCAACGGACTTGTCCCGATTGGACTTGCCACATCCGATTATCATGGGTCGTCCACAGCCGCCTCCACACGCCCTTATCATGTTTGCACGGATTCTCTGCCCTCCTCAAGGATTCAACTTGCATCTCACATCCACAAATGAAAGAAGTGCGTATTCTGAGTCCACCACAGCACATGTTGTACAATGCAACGTGCTCGCGTTGCTTCTACTGAATGCTGGCATTCGTTGGCCCGGTTTACCAACAGCGATCGCCTGGGAGACCCAATGCCTGTGGGGCGCACGGCAGCAGTCTTATCCCCATATCACATAGATAATGGAGCCGCATCGACGTAGAGTTTGACGCTGTGGAGGGGAGGTCTGCATAAGCGACTTGACGCTCAGCGCGACAGAATCGCTGTGGTGTCCCTTGCATGAAAGGATCAACATACTGGACTCCAACATGCAAGAGCACCACCTGCAGGCGCACTGGTGCACTCTTTACAGTACAGATCAACATACTGGACTCCAACATGCAAGAGCACCACCTGCAGGCGCACTGGTGCACTCTGTACAGTACAAAGGAGCAAACCTGCAGCAGAGCGAAGACCCGTGCGACGTACAGCGCTTCGACATGCGAGCAGCTCAGGATATCGGTTCCCAGTCCAGCTACATGATTTCAATTGGCGTCGAAATGATGATTGAGTTGACGTTGAGGTTGAACGGGATGAGAGATTTTTTCGGACATGATATGCCAATTCCACACATCGCGATCGCCTCTTTGTTCTGTGGACGTGCGCCCAGCGATGGCAGCCTGCCACCCCTGCCCTGTTTGGTGGGATGCAGTGGTAGGCAGCCGAGAGGATGTGCGCAGGGTGTTCCGCATTCCGCGAAGGTCGTTCCGGCCTTGTTTTGATTTTGGACGAATTGCGCAACCCCTGAGCGTTCATTGAGCGCTAAGCATAGCAAAACAAATGCAGTCCCCGAAGAGCCTTAAGAGCGACGTCTCGGTTGATGGGTCCCTGTCGGTGTGGTGATGCGATGTGCTACAACAACGGCCTGGGATTAAGCTGTTTCAGACAGACAAGACACAGTCGTAGGCAGCCGAGAGGATGCGCACAGGGTGTTCCGCATTCCGCGAAGGTCGTTTCGGCCTTGTTTTGATTTTGGTCGAATTGCGCAACGCCTGAGCGTTCATTGAGTGCTAAGCATAGCAAAACGAATGCAGTCCCCTAAAAGCCTTAAGAGCGACGTCTCGGTTGATGGGTCCCTGTCGGTGTGGTGATGCGATGTGCTACAACAACGGCCTGGGATTAAGCTGTTTCAGACAGACAAGACACAGGATGAAAGTGCAGGCTGGAAAGCAGAGAGGAGGTTACTGGGCGTCACCAGCAAAATCTAACTTCATTTCCGATGTCTCTATGCGAACACACGAGCAAAACCGGACAGACACGACTTCGAGGTTCGCCCTTCACTGTGTGTGCGCACAAATCGTTAGTTGTGCTGGACTTAGATTGGCACACTCACATGGAGTGCCAAACCTATCGATGCTTGCACCATCATGTTCATGAAGCCACTGGCAGCTGGACACAAGACGGCGACATTCAAACTGGGTGGCCACCAGCCTGAATCGCCCACAGCCTTCGTTTAAAGGTCCGCAAGCAGTGCACAGTCTTGCAAGTCTGTATACGTCTGCATCAATCTGGACACGCACTCGTGTTTGCATTTATGGGCCTTGGTGGCTTCAGGAAGGCGTATTGATGCGCAATTCACGCTGCAATTTGCAACTCTGGTTGATCTGCTTTGTGAACAATCTACTTCAAAGGCAATGCCTGCTGACGTGGCAAGCACACCTCGAATCCACTTGTGACCCTCAATGAAACCTTCGCGATTTCCAACGTGCATGCTGTGGTGGTTTTCACAAACCTGCCTTCGCCACATGGCATGTACCTTGCCATGTAGCAGACTTGCCATCCTGAAGCACGCCGACTGCAATGCCTTTCAAGGGAGATTGGACCCTCATTCTACACGACAATTAAGGGAGTATCCGCTTTGTTGATCTCAATGCTGTGTATCTCTGAACCCTACACCCTAAAGCGTGTCCATCCGATTCCAACGGAGTGCATCAACTCCATATCTTCGTGCAAATGAGTTCAGCCTGAACCCCACATGACTGGCACCTGTGTCGCAAGTGTCATGGCATCTCCTGTGTTTGTCATCCTCGGCCAATGTTTGTGTAGTTGGCTGGCATGTTGAATCCAACAAAGGTTTGTGATCGAGTGAACAAGCGACCTACACAAAATGGCAGCACAAGTCTGTTGTCAGCTCTCTTTCCAACAACAGCGACCCCACTCCTTACCAAAGACCCAGCTGCCTCACCAACGACATTCCCAGCAGGGTGAAATGGGTTTTCATGTTGTGACAAGTATGTTTCAATGGAAGCTGACCTCAGCAACGAAAATCAACTCACCAACTTTAGGCATAACGTTCCATGCAACTGTCAGGTTGAATGCCCGATCTCTTAAGTTGCGGCCCTGATCGTCGAAAGTGTATTTCTGGCGCAGTTTCTTCTTCCTGATCTTTGCATCCTTCTGCAACACACACAGCCTTTGTATCAGCTACTTACTTGCTGAAACCCATGAGCCTCTCTGAATCACAGATTTGGATTCCAATGTTTCCAGAGATTGTGTCTGCAAGCCTGCTGCCAACAGGCACCCAGATTTCAAAGCCAAGCATGCCATCAAACCAATCCCCAGCACAGTGCTGTGCGGCTTCCCACAAAACGCAGTGTTTTCAATCCAGTGCTGCTGGAAGTGAATTGGCAGTGTGCTTACACGATGCCACTGACACAGCTGTGGCCAATTCTGGATTAGCCTTGTTGTTCTGTTGACCTGCCACAACGTTGCCCGATGTGTGCACTTGTGACTCAGTCATGTGCCTGAAATTGAGGTTGACAACAACAGTCGCATGTAGCATGGCACAGCAGTGTACTGTTGGACATTGTAACTCGAACAAATGCTTCCAAACAAATGCTGTGCTTGGTCCTTACACCTGTCACCACCTACCAGGTGCAAGAACTGGGTGTCATACTTGTCTGGTAATCGAAGGAATTTTAGTGAGCAGCATATTGTCCTGCTGCTCTCCCAAGTGCAAGCTGCCAGCTACTCACGAACTGCACAACACTGAAGTTTACGATTATCCTTCACTGCTGCAAAACCTGGCACGGCTGCTCTCACCTGTTGTTGGATGATGGCATCCCAGAGCACCACCTGATTGAGTTGGTTTGTCTCTGTCTGATATTCAGCCAGGACAAAGAGGAACACCTGCTTTGTGTTCCAACTGAATGCACTTTTCAAGTCAGCATCGAGGACAATATGCAGTTTGGCCTGCACACAACGCCCACACATGCTCTAAGCAATGCAACACAGGTCCTGTGAGGCAATAGCAAATAGTCTACAGCGAATGGCTTGGGAAGTGTATCGTGTTCAAGTTCAGGGAATGAACAACTGTAGATGTCGTGAAGGATAAAGCAGTGACTGAATCAACGCCATTGGAGCATGGTTCCAGGTACAACTTTCAGTATGTCACGCTCTTCACTCAGCAAGCACACGCCCAATTGCAGGCTTGTCATCAATGTGTTGGTGTTATATTCCAACTGATTCAGCGCTGCTCTGGGAAGTTGCCAGTGCTGCTGCTGCAGCAAACCGGACACATGCGCATACTCTGGCGCTTCCTGGAAGGGACAACAAATGGGCTCCAGCTGGGCCCTGCAGTGTTGTGTGAACCATCATCAGCAAGAGGCCGCAGTGCGCGTTGAACAGCGAGCCAAAACTGCTCCAGCACCGCAGTTCCGGTCGATGATCCCTAGACCAGGACCCCGCCGTGTCCTAGAGCGCTGTAGATGGACATGCGCGCCACACAGGCCCACCACCTTCCAGCGCCTCAGTGTCCCTAATTCCAACACCGCCGGTTTTCCAGCCGGACACCTGCCTGCCCGCAGGCGTCCCAGGGAGGGGTTCGGCCAGATCAGCGCCTTCCCCAACCCGCCCGGTAGCCCAGCCACCTCCCGCAGGGCCTATCCGAGCGGCTCGCTCACCAAGTCGTTTCGCACGTGCTCGTCCGGCGGAGTCACCTCCACCTTCGCCAGCTCCAACGACACTTCCGGATCAGATGGGTGGAATAAATCTGCCAAGGTGCACAACATGAAGTGAGGGCCGGGAGATCCAGATCAAAGCGGCTGGTCAGCACTGGCACCAGAAACCCCCCGTGGGGTTCCGCAGGCCGACGTTTGGATCCAAGGATCCAGCACCTCTGCGGAGCCTTGGCCGACAGGCCCTGGGTAATGTTTCGCCAGGCGTTTCGAAACGCCACCCGAAAAGCAAGCGAATTCGATGAATGGTCGCATCAGGTGTGCCCCTGGCGATTCGGTTTGTCGGCGGGAGGGCAGCTCACCGGTGATGGAGGCCAAGGCACACATGCCCGCCAGCACCGTCGTGGCGAACGTGAGCAGAGCATTTGTGCGGTACCAGAAGGAGTGCATTTCTGGAGTGGGCGACGGACACGCCTGTGTGGCACGGGTGGGGCTTCCCGAAGTGGGGCGCCTTGGAAGGCGTGGGAGGTTGTGGGTGAATAAGGACACAAGGCAGTGGATTACCCACAATGGCTGCAGATTATATTGCTGCTGTGGTGCATGAGGTGCGCGAACCCGTAGCTCAGTCGGTTAGAGCGCTGGTCTTATGAGCCGGAGGTCGCGGGTTCGAGCCCCGCCGGGTTCATGTGCCCGAAAAAAAGGGACGATGAACAACCTGCGATCGCCGGTCATGCTTACCCAGCATTTTTGTCCCTTTCGCCGTCCAGCCGCGAATGTCAACTCTGCGAACACCTGCAACTTAACCGCTCAAATTGCACCTTTCGTCAGTGCACATTGTACACCCGCTGTGAGCATCACAGCAACCGTATTGCAACCTGAACACGGCGCGGATCGTATTCGAATCGTGTTCTCTGTCCTTGGAGCTGTTGCCCTTCCCCGTCAGCAGGGTGGCTGACCCCACAGCAGTGCGCCCAGGCATGCCAGCCGCCATGGCACGCACTGGAAAGCGTACTGCGTAACTCCGCAGCATGTACGGGAAACCCGTTGCCGTAGGTGCTGCTGGGCGCACCGTAGCCCACCTCCCAGAGATCGGTCGCCCTCGCCCAGACGGGCACAACATAAGCCACCGCGCCGTCCACAACCGTCCCCACCCTGGCCTCACGTCCCTTTTTTGCTTTCTTTGCCCTGTGGGGCCGGACCCCCTCCCACCGCCCCCTGCCACCGGGCCAGCAGGCCCCTCCCCAAGAAGGCGGCCTCCCGAGGAATCCTATGCGCCCCCTTGGGGCCGCTGGGAAGAGGCGAGGGCGACGAGGGACCCGGCATCTCGGTGTTTCGATCGCGGGGTGGGAGGCAGCGCACTGTCGCCGTGCAGGGCGGCCGGCACCTTGGCGCCGTGGAGCGTCGCCCGCATCGAGGCGGCGGCGCGGACGCCATGGGAGACCCCTACGGTTCCTCGATGGTCCGCTTCGATGTGCGCGGCAAGGACTTCAACGTGGCGCTGGACACGATCGACAAGTACCCCGACTCGTACCTTGCGTGGCTGGTGAAGAACGCGCCGGACCAGGTGCGGTCGGGGCGGCCGATCGCGATCAACCGCAAGCCGGAGTCGTTCAAGAACCTGCTGGAGAACTACAGGTGGGGCGGCTGGGGAGACTTTTCGTGCGTGCTTGACCGTGTGCTGGTTGGTTGGGGCCGGCGTGGGAAGGCGTGGGACGGCGTGGGAGGGCGTTCGGCGTGACGTGGATGTGTGGAAGACGCGGGACTGGGCCAAGGGCGCGGGATGGCGGCCCCAGACGGGCATTGGTTGTTTGCCGCGTTTGGGTGTCGCGTGCTGCGGAAGATGCAGCGCCTGGAGCGGTCGCGGGAGCCGTGGCGTGCTGCCCGCGCGGCGTCGGCTGCGGCCGCTGGACCGTACACGCGCTGCGAAGCGCAACCGCGGGAGCAGCTATGGGCGCGGGCCCGATGCCATGGCCGGCGCCCCCGGGGAGCGACCCTGGGTGGCGAACAGGGCGTGGCGCACGTGCTTGGATATTTATCAGGCCGGCGAGTCCGGGGGGTGGATGATTCGTGCCCAACGTGCGAGGCCGCATGCCGCCTTGTGGCCCGTGCTCCGCACGCCGGCGCTTTCTGAGCGCGCCGGGCCAAGCCGCGGCTGTCCGCGCCTGGTGGCTTTTCACCACGCCGCTGGTGGCTGGTGACATGTTTGTCAGGCGCTTCTTGTTGCGCCGCTGCTGTTTCTGCACGTGGGCGTTGCCCTGCGCGCGGGGCGTCGGTGGATCGGCGGGCGGGAAAGGGCGGAGGGCAAGCGAGCGGCGAGGCAGGCACCGCGCGGGAGGGGCGCCGTGGTGGGGGGCCAGCGGCCCAGCGGCCCAGCGCGTTGCCGTGTCGAATTCTTGTGAGACGCCCGGGAGCGCACGAGGGCCGTATCTTGCCCATCAGAAATTTTTGCCCACAAGATTTGGGAGGGGATTCAGGGCGGATGGTGATGGGCTCGGATCCCCTCTGGAAAGCGCGCTGATCCGCTGAATCGTGCGTGTACCTTTCGTCATCACTTGGCTTTAGGGCCAATTGGAGGGGTTGAGGGCCCAAGGCGTCCCCAGGTGGATGGTGTCTTGGAAGTCTCATGCTCACCGCGACTTCTGAGGCGTGCTATTTCTCGCAGCAGTATTCGCGTGTTTGCATCCATCTGATTGTGAGGACGATTGGCCTTTCTAGACTGCCTGGCCTCAATTCATCAGAAAGCTCAGGGCCAAGCCCTGGCATCTCGTGGGCAACAATTGGCGCCGGGACTCTTTGTCGGCATTTGTTCAATGTCCTCACACCACCCAGTTGCACTCAGTTGAGGTCAGAGCTGCAGTTTGAAGATTTCCAATATGGTGGATTTTGCCATTTTGCCACAAGAATCCAGCCTTCCGTTGTAAACAATAGCTGCACGACCAACCCCAGGTGTTGGGTCAGTTGGTACAGTGTGCTCCTGTTTTGGCTGTGGCATTGATTGCATTATCAGATTGGGCACAGGAGTTGCACTCCCCAAAATATGGCACACGTGTTTTTGCCATATCAGAACCTCCAAATCCAAAGGCAAAGGCAATTGATTTCCATTGCTACGTGCCTGTTGTTCCACTTGAGTTCTTTCCTATCGCCTGACCCGCTTCCTCCTACTTCACCCCTCGCCAAGTCCTTGTGCACTGCATTCCTTGCCTGGCTGCAGATTCAGCATCCTTTGTTGTTTAGGGAGCTGTCAATCCTTGTGAGCACTGTCTCGACCAATGGAATTGCCAGGCCTGTGAACAGCCTGAAGGGAGCTTGGCTGTTTGTCCTCTGCTTGCAGTATGCAGCTGCATGTGAATCTTATGTTTTCACAGGTGCAAGATGGCATTGTGCGTGGCACCTGTTATCGCCCAAGATGGATGCAAAGCCAGCCATAGGCCTATTAAGCCAGTAGGGCCAGAGTATGTCGTTTATGTTGCGGCCATGAAAGCACGTTGGCACACCCCGAGGTTCGCAGAAGTATTTACATGGATGTTCTTTGCTCTTGCAAGGTCATGCTCGTCGTTTTTGTGCCATCCTAAAGGGAGTTATTGATGCCTCTGTTCTGCCAAGCTCCCCAGCTGGGTGGATGAGAAGCAATAGGACTGGAAATATTGCGCCACATGTGGAGGACTGACTGGGGCAGGGTAGAGCACTCAGGGCTGTTGTGTGGGGAGCAGCACAAAGCGCTTGGGGCGCTCTGTGACCTTCTGATTCCTTGTTGGATGCATTCGGTCAAAGATCCTGACAAAGTACAAGTGCAATCAATGAAATTGTGAAATTGGAGCACCTGGAGTGAGCCACATTCTGAAATGATCACACCTCTCCTGTAGGAGGACAGGCCGCCGTGGAGGTGACGTTTCATCCATCCGTGGCGCATTTGAGAGGGCGTCCCTTAGATCCACCAACGAGCGGTCCAGCACTCCCATGTATGACGATGACCCCCCCATGTCCTTCACCTCGACCCGGGGCATGCAGCAGCCTCCGCCACCCCCTAGACCGCCCTCCTCCTACTGGGGCGGACCTGAGGAGAGCTTCAGCTCTGCACCGCCCACAAGCCAGCATAACCCTCCGCCACCGCCACCCCCTGACGGGGCGTCATCGTCAGCATTTGGGGGCGCTTCTGTAAGGCCAAGGAAGGGTGGCTCCACAGGCACACTTACGGTGGCTGCGCAGCGGGGCACGGACGAGGTGGTGGATGAGGCAGTGCATGAGATCGTGTCGACGCTGAAGAAGTGTGCCCACAAGGTGGGGAAAGTGTTTGAAGTTTCGGGTTCTGTTGCTTCTTTGTGCAGCAATGCACGCTTTCTCTGTAAAGCACAAGGACTAGCTAACCTCTGCTACTGGATATGCAGATGTGCCCACACTGCTGAGCGGATGGATTTCGAGATGTGGATTGTGGCCTGGGATGACATGTGTACAATTCTTGGGTATCGTTTCTACCATGGTGCATAGCTGATGGGTTCTTCCAGAAATAAGCATTTCTGTATGACGTGCTTAGGCAAGAATATTACCTGTTGGTGTCCATTCGGCTGTTCATCGTTTAATTCCCAAGTAAACCCAAGATCGGATCCATTCTGACGTCGGTGTTCACTGTGCCCACCAGGTGCAGATGTATGACAAGGCGTTGTTTGTGCTGATATGGGGACGCAAGAGTGAGGGTGGCCGCTCACTCCGTCCCCAGCTGTCAAAGCTGTATGACAGCATGACAGGCAAGGCACATGACGTGCGGCGCAGCTCAGAGGGCAATGGTTCATTTGAGCGCCAGGGTGGCTGGGGCGAGTTTGACTCTGTGTACTCAGCCACGTGCCTGAGTGCACGTGTGCAGTCGATGGTGGTGGAAAGGCTGAGGAAGGCTGGGTATGGTTGCAGCTTTGCGGAAGTGAACTTGGACCGGGCGGGTAAGGTGAACTGGCGGGGCAGCCGACGGGGGGGTCAGCCAGCCCTGGACAGCTCCACTGTGAGATGTCTAGTGGCCAACCTGAGGTGAACAAACCCATTGCATCGCAGTTGCCTTCTTTGGGCTGACCGGTGCCCCTTCAGCCCACGTGGAAATGATGCAGGCAGTCCAGAGTGCAGTGCACAGTGGCAGTTGACAGACTTGCGCTACTTGCCTGGAGGGGGCATATGGGCAGCTGCAAGGACCTCCAACGTTGTGCTGTTTTAGTCTGGCCAAGAGATGTGAGGCTGCTGTTGAAATAGCGTATTTGCTAGCGTTGCAGCCGGGAACCCTGGAATATGTAAACAGGAAGTCTGTGACGATCATGTGTGGACCAGGGCACCATGTATTTGACTGCACGTCCCACGGTCATAGTAGATGGGATTATTGGGTGTTTCATTTCACTCCAACCTTCAAGGCGAGAACATTCAGATGCGAATTTTGAAGGAAAGTGAGAACTAGCAGAATGGCATGGAACAGATTGGATATGCAAGTGGCAACCCAGGGGCGTGGTTTGGGGTGGCAGGTCTCTTAAGAGGCTGTGAATAGGGCTCTGCAGGGTGTGTCATGCTGTAGGAATGGCAGCAGGACTGTGCAATGGGGCGCTGCTGGCTGGAACACACATATAGCTGTGCCATGAACAAAAGGGAGGACTGTCCCCTTAGTGTTGGAGAGGCGATGCTGTAGCGGGGGAGGATTGGGGGACTGAAGACACTGAAAGGGCAAGGTACAAGGCAGGGCAGGTGACACTTGTGAAGGATTTTGTGTAGGGTCTTGTGGTTCAGTTGTTGATGAAAATACGAGGTCGTTGTAGGTTGCTTTCATAGTAGATTATTAGGGTAGATGAGGGTGTGCGGCTGGAGCAGGGTGGGAAATGGGCCCTTGCGCACGATTGCTGCCTCCAGTCATATTGAACGGCTGGGGCTGGCAGACGCAGGGTTTTCAACGGAGGCAATTATCTGGCGCTGTCGGGTTTGCAGATCGAGGGGCTGTGGGACTGGTTTAATGTGGAAGAAGGGGCTGAGGAGAAGACAGAAGGCAGGGGCTGGTGTGTAGTTTTGTGGCGGGACGTAACGAATGAGGAGGGATTGTTTCCTATTCTTTGTTACAGAAGATTAGAGGGGACAGTGGATGAAGGATGTGGTCGCACTGAGGTGCACATTAGCAAAGCTGCGCCCCTTTGGGTGCAGCTCTGAGGATGGCATGCAGCAGCTTGCCTGTTCCATTGTGGATCACATCTTTCATGGGGGCGGCTTGCAATGTCATGTCGCTGTGCAGTGTGAAGCATATCCATTCTCAGCCATTGTCACCAAGCATCTCAGCCACCATATGGCAGGCGGTCACATCACGGGATATCCAGCTGATGTGGATGATGATGATGATGAACACACTCTTAGCAGGAGATTGTTACTGTTAGTGACTTATTTAGTCGTCTATCTGATGCTTGGACGCTAGTGGGCGCATAATGGGCACCAGCTGATCCTGGATGGCTGGCCAGGTCCGTGTTAGTAATGGCCAGATTCGACCTATGCGAAGTGACCTTCGCAAATCGTCCTCGGCTTTTGAGCTTGCGAGAGATGCAGTGATAGATCATTCTCGCAGCCATGATGGTCAGCATTCTGCAGCGTGCAGGGTCGAATTCCGAGTGGGGAATCATCACAGTAGACAATAGGCGTAGGCATAGGCATAGTCGTCCCGTGCACACGACTGTGCGCTGACGCCCTCTTTTTTCCCCATAGCTTGGGCCCTGTAGACTGGTGTTAGGGCCATGCACGAAACAATAGACCATGGGGGTTAACGCGCAGTTGATATGTAAGTTGCCTGATTTGCTATTGCTGGCACGGTTTGGCTGTCTGGCGGTTCCCAAAGCTGACGTGACATGCTTGCACGCCACGGGCCCTCTGGTCATCTGTCCACGCAGCCGGTTGCGGACACAGGGTGACCAACTGGGCGTTGTAGCACAACAGACCACCAGAAGAGCCAATGCATTGAATCTCAACCTGGACAGGGCTGACACATTCGTTCATTACGCCGTCAAACTGCTGACAAAGCTGTTCTAACAGGAATTACGTTCAGGACGTTTACAGTACTCTTACATTTGCATCAGTCCACATTGAGCCTAGGTTGAAGAAAGTGTGTCCGGAATGTTTCATTCAAATCCCGCGAATCGCCCACTGCTGTCCTATATCATTGCACTGTGGCAGGCAAATACGGGACATCCAGCTGGTGCTTTAAGGGAAGGCGCTTTGTCCATTCTGTTATGTTCGGGTCGCCAATTATGGGGCCCATCAGGAAAAAAAGGCAGTATCTTAATGATACTACTCAGTGGGCGACCCCGTAAGGTTGTCGACGTTCGCTCTCCCCACTTCTGAACCTCAGCAATCGTCACGCGGAGGTGCATACATTCAGTAAAATTAGTGCTGTGAGGGTTGATCGGAATTTGGATTTGAAAGCATCAATCTGCTGCAAGTCAATTCTGCAACATGACTGTGTCATTCCCATTCCATCTAGAAGTTTTTAAGATGCGTTTATTAAGAAAGTGCATCAATAGACATTGTTCTGGCCGCGATTTGGCCGACCACTGTACCTTATGAACAGGACCCCGTTTGTGATGGAGGGGGGGCTGCCCCCGTCGCGGTCTGCCCTCGGAGCACGACGAGACAGAGCCAGGGGGGGCGTGTGGAGGCGCCACATGGCTGTGTGATAGGAATATGACCCACGGGGCATTTTGTGGCTGCTGACTGCGGGAAGTGGGGTGTACCGGACCGAATTGCGGCGATATGATGGAGTGATAGAAAGATTCCAGGGAATCAAAAGATTCTTTTACAAAAAGGGGTAAAAGTGTGAAGTGTCGCACGCCTTGGGCGGATACAAGTACGGAGGGTGCGAAGAGCGCCAGAGGGGACGATGCATTGTTGACTTCAGCATGGCATCTGTAACAACGACTGCACGTGGCTTGTCTGCGCCTCCCGCGGCGGTCTAGTCATGCGACCTGGCTGCCTGAGTCCCCTGGCCGCGCACGCCGCGTGCGCCATGTGGCCTGAGCGCAATAGCGCTCGACCTTTTCGAAGGTTGTGGCCACTCTGGGCTGTTCTTGAGCGTTTTCTTGCCGTTCACGGCCAACACCTCGAGTGCGGCCTTGCTACCGGCCAAAATCGGCAACCATCGTCGCTGCACAGCCATGGCAAGGCGGAAAAGATGCCCTGCTGCGTCATGCGCTGCTGCAATGTAGACGGGGCTGAACGGGCCCGTGGACCTAACCGACGTTTTTGACTTCATTGACCTTTGAGGAGCTGTTGCGATTGATTGCGAAGCTCTGGGCCGCAGTTTCAAGTCTTTCTACAAGGGCATCTGCGTGCATTGGCCGGCAGTTGATCCTCTGCTGCCCGTTTGAGACATCCTTCTGCTGCCATTGCCATTGTGGTGGCAATCGTCATTGTGACAAGCGGCGTTTCGTGAGGAGCCACTCCGCGCAGGGGGGACCTCTTGATCGTTCTATGCACTCTCAAAAAAGCGTGGAGCTGAGGCTGTCGACGTGGATGAGCTGCCCATGAATGTGGGAGAGGGTTATGCATGGTTCCCATGGCGACCAACGATATATGGGATGGCCGTTGCACCATAAACGGGGGTTGGAGGTTGCGACCATGGATCTGTGGCCATCTACGTTTGTTGTGTACTACCAGAGAGTCCCCACGCATGAGCAGGCGCAGCCCTTATATCGTTTGATCTTCCACTGTGGCGCACATCTGGATTCTACAGGCCATCATGGCTGGTGGAGTTCAGCCATTACGCTTAGCGTCAATTTGACGTTAAGTTCAGACCCACCCACCCATTCCACCCCACTCTTTTCCTGTGGTCTGCTTAGCTTGAACACCGTGGGTGAATGCTGAGCACGATCTGTGGACCAACAATTCCCTCTCCCGTTTATGTGCCTTGTGTTGTTCCCGGGCTCCCTCCTATAGCGCCTGAAGAATTCAATTCTTTCCACCAATTTGGTGGAAAAGGAGGGGTCTCGCTTTGATACTTTGTAATGCCATCTTAACAACCCCCCCTTTAGCGTCAATCCTTATGTCGAAGCCAGGGTGACTCAGCAATATTACCTAACAGTGGAATACAATTTCTAGCTGGTTTTGAGAAGAAAAAACTCTCTGAGTCGTACAAATTTTTGGTGGGCAGAGTAACTGGGATTATAAATGTCATTATAGGCAAGGCAGGCCGCCTCAATAGATACAAATTGAAACATTCTAAGGACTTCCTTGAAGACGGAACATGTCAGGAAAGTCCAGGAACAAGTCACGAGAGAGTTTCGTTCCTGCCGCTCCCCTTTCCCTCCTCCTTCCTCCTTTCTTTTTCCTTCCTCCTTAGTTGATGCGCTTAGTTGGCCAAGGACTATCCACTCGCCATTCGCCCCTGGTAGCAAGCTCAAATGATCCACGTTCTCGGGCTTGAGCACTATGCGCTTGGCCGTCACAATTAGACCAGCCTTCGAAAATGAGCGTTCACTACTGACGCTGGAGGCCTGCAACACAACCAAAAATACTCAATACTTCTCAGCCTGTGAACTTCATAAGGGCTCTGTGGCATATATGCATAGCTAGTTGGCATCACAATAAAACCAAACTTAGAAAATGAGCATTCACTGCTGGCGTTGGAAACCTGCAACACAACCAAAGATATTCAGTACTTTCCTTCCTTTCAACTCCATATTTCATATAAGGGCACTTTGGTATATATGCACAGCCAGTTGTACTCACCCACTCACCTGTGTTGCTAATATTCGACGTGCAAGCCTGGCCACCAAGGGGAAGCTGGTGTGATTCTCACCCCACCAATCCCCAGCACTCCATTTTTTTTTATATTCACATGCTGGTGTCCATTTCAAATCAAACCACCTTTCGACTTCGGCCTCCACTGGGTCCATGTGTAGTGGGGAGCATGGGGCCCGTCTTCTCCATCTTGATCGTCGGAAACGTAGTGGTCCCTTAGGTGGGGGTGATGCCGCGTCTAGCCAACTCTGCTGCACAGCCTGTGCTGCATCCTCTTCGGATGATGAGCCCAAGGAATGGACTTCGGGCGCCTTCACCATGTGCCTCAACTGCAGAAGTCATATGCACGCTATTAGTCACACAAGCAAGATATAAAAGTAGGCACCCCATGCAGCCAAGTGATCCCAAGAGACGGCCGTTTAAGGCGAAATACACAACAGGCACAGTCGTGCATGCAAAGGCACAAAGGACACTTGGTACCGGCCAAAACTATCCACAGTTGGATGCACACATTTACAAAGGCAAAGGCCACAAATCAGAACTGAACTCACCAATGCCGTCATCTCTTTCTTCAACATCGCTTGGAACTTTGCCAGGGTGTCATATTCTTCCACCAAATTTGGCCAATCGTCAGCATTGTTCCAGATCCTCCTCATCCAGTGCAATGTATTCCTCCTTCCGTCCACAGCCGCCGCTAATGCCCAGTTGTATATTAGATTGACATTATCACAATCCGCACACAATTTCTTTGTGAACTCAGAGGTGAAGTCAAGCAACACAGGTTTTGCATGTGCATCGGTGTCAGTGACATACAGCCGGTCGTACAGCAACTTCAACACATATAGAGGACATCTGATATGGTAATATACTCGTCCCCCTCACATCGCTCAGACAATTCCCGTATCGACTCCAGGACTGGCAGCACTTGTTTGAAAATGCACCACCCAGCTGCTGGTATAATGATCCTAGTAATTCTCGCGTTTGCTGTATACTCGCGGATGCTTCTCTCCAACAAAACCGCCCTCTTAATCAAAAAATACATGCTGTTCCACCTCGTCGGGCACCAAGTCCCCAGACGCAATATTCGCTTTGGACAAGCCTGCTCCATTTCATTGTCAGGAACCGTAAGATCTGCATCAGGATCATCGGGCAACTCAGCAACATCATCTTCTTCCCTTACACCTGAGTAATCCTCCTCCTCCTCATCTGATGATACATCGCCGGCCACTTCCTCCTTTAGCATCTTCCTTTGCACGCGGCGGAAAAGCTTCCAAGCAGTGGGCGATTTGTGAAAATGACTTGCCAATTCGCGAAGCGGCTGGACGAGCTGCTGAAACTCTTTCACATTTTGGAAACCGGCCTTGACTGCGGTATTTAACAGATGGCAAATGCAGGGGTGCCAGTCAAAAATCTCCTTTTTCTCAACTGCTGAACTCATATTGGAGGCGCAGTCCGTGGTGAGAGCCACACGATCACACAGCGACTCGTCCTGAAACGCACGCACAACTTCCATCTCCAACTCCGTCATGACTTGGTCACGCGGAACTACAGGGTGCAGGCCATACTTCAATCGGATCTTCAGCAAGGCACGGCTTATCGCGTCTGCAGTGTGTGTCCCAGGGAAGCTGGCAGTCCCTGACACCACCAACGTGCTGTGGTTTAACAGACGGGGGTTACCTTTTGCACATG